AAAATATTTGTATAGCCATCAAATGTCATTTATGCTTTGTTGTAAAGGGTTAAGCAATAAAAATGACTTTATAATGTGAAAAAATATCAAATATTTTTTTGTACTTTGGTACGTAGAAATGAATTTATTACTTCGTCAGGATACCCCCATGTTCTAAGCAATTTCTCCATAATAGGTATTTCAGAAATACTATTTCTTTAAAAAATAACAGAATCACCACCACAGAACAAACCACAGGCACAATAATTAAACAAAACAGGTCCACGCGCATTGAAAGTTTACTTAATTATGCCAAAGAAGATTGATGCCGCCCTCTTTGTAGAACGTATTTTTGCGCGGTTCTTTTGTTATGCTCAATTTGAAGATAGAGTACGTTTTTATTATTAAATTAATGATAGTGTCCCTTTTTATTATTGGAATGATTACATGTAAGGATGTTTTCAGTATAAAGCAAGTGTTCACAGGGATGTTTTGGTATTTTATATCTAAATTTAGTTATCTTTGATATACATAAAAATATATATTTTTATAATCAATTTAATGATTACACTGTGCGACAAATTTTGACCTTACAATTTGAACTGGGATGAAATGTGGAAAAATCGAATCTATGCAACCCCCAAGGGGTTTTGCTAGTTTAGCTCGAATAATGGAGATATACATACATATATATATGTATATCTCCATTATTCGAGCTAAACTGGTAAAACCCCTTAAAGGATTTGTTTTGGGGGTTGCCTAGATTCGAGTTTTTCAGATTTGATCCCAGTTCATTTTTTGTGTTGCACAGTGTTATATTTAACAATATATTATACTTGCTATGAATTAATTTTGGTAACAGAATAAACCTTATTTGTATTAACCTAAACCTAATTATTTGAAAATATGTTATTTGTTCAAATTGATATTAGATTTTTTTGTGTGCACAGTGTATATACAAAAAAACAAAATTGTTTTTACGTTTAAACGTTGTTTTTAAGCAAGAATACATAAATGCTCAAAGTAATAGTTATCATACGAATTTTTAAGATTTATTTTTTAATTTTAAAACTTTAAAGTGAAAAAAAATTTTTTTGACGTGTACAAAAAATCGCCGATACACGGATCTTTTTTTATCGTCTTCTATCCGATTTTTCAAGTTTCATCGATGCGGGCAATTTTGTGTTGTACGGTGTTATAGGTACTTTTGTTAAGACTATTGTCAATAATTATGTTGAAAATATGAAAACATTCATTTTAAATAGAGCAATATTCATAAAGTAACGTATTCAATTACTTAAAAGTTTATGATATGTTAAATTAGATTATACAATAGAAATATTTATTTACTTTAACATCAAATATATGAAATTCTTTCACAAAATAATTAGCTTTACTTGCTTTCAAATAATTAAAAGTCTTGTTTTAAGACAATCATTCTTTTGAATGAGGAATATACGAAATATTTATTACAAACAATTCATTTAATTGCGCAAATGAGGACTAACGGTATATTTACAATAAATAACATATATTCACAGCAAACACTACGTTTTGTGCCAATTCGAGTAAGTTTAGTGAATTGGGAATTTGGTGTTAAGATCGTAAAAAAAAATTTCAGGAATTTCGAGTGTTGCAGTTCCAATATTGAAGGCTAATAATTTTAACAATTGGTGGTTCAGGATTCAAATAATCTTGAAACGGGAACTATGCTAAGAGATTTTATATTAATATTATTTATTTAACTTCGGCAGAAAAAGCCGAGTGGATGAAGAAAGATTCGAAAACGCAATCTATAATAGTTCAAGGCTTAATCCACCAAATTCCCAATTCACTAAACTTACTCGAATTGGCACGATACTGGGCCCATGACCTGATAAAGTTATTTGGTGTTTTGGGTAATTAATAACAGATTTCTAAATATATTAAATATATACAGTGTACAATCTTGGATATAATCGGTAGCAATATTGTCGGCCGACTGTATCTTTATCTACTAACATTTGGCCGATTTTATATAAGTTGATCGGCCGATCGAAAAATATAAAGTTGGTGTAATGGTATCAATGATGTTTTAATAGCTGCTGGTTTTTGTGCAGCATATTTAATAATTATTATTAAAAAAATAAAAACAAAACGATGGTGGCAAATACAGGTTCTACAGGAAGTAAATTATAAATTATGGCAATGGCTTAATAAGCAACCTAAGATTAGAAGATGAAAGTATTTTTTTGGTAATACTCGCAAGATATATATTACGTAAAAAATTGGATGCGAAAAAACATACAACTACCAAATTTTTCTGACTTGCGGTTTCTCAAGAAAATGACAAAATCTAATATGCATTGTCAATGTTATTTTCATGTTTGTGAACTTGCAAGAACTCCTAAAATTGGTAATTTTGCAAAAGACGATCTTTTACAGGGGATATTAAATAAAATAAAATTTAGGTAAAACGACCGAGAAACGTTGTAGTTCCTGTTTTTGATTATTGCAATATTTTAATATGAATTCATAACGTAAATAAGGAACTATCAGAATCCACATCAAAATTTTAGCATGTCATTTCGTCACTAGTTAATAAAAAGTTATTGAAGAATAGTATATTATTATACGAGAGGTAATGCGCATTATCTCGAGTGTACCTACTACTACGCTTTTTTAAGTAAATTAAGTAATTTTCATTTATAACAAAATGTATTGTAAGCTCACTTCCTCCTTATTTTAATAATCCTTAAAAAATCACAGTGAAAATCAGCCAATCACTGATGCCTTTCAGCGTGAATAATGAGTTAATTATTTCCGTTGTTAACCGGACGGTTTTATTATTTATGAGTTTATAGGAAAAAAACAAATATCGTCAATTATATGCAATAGGAGTAGTAAAATAAATTAAAAACTTAGGCTGATTTAACCAACCTCTTACGCACGGTGTGCCTGAACGAAGTTTAAGTCACATAAAAATGCCGCCAAAAACTGATTGCAGTTTCTTGTTCGGGACCCTTTGGTGACTTAAAAATGTTATTTACCAAAATCCTAGCTGCTCCTCTTTTCGAAATTTTTTGAAAATTCATGATTTTTTTTTAAATTTTTGTTTATTTCAAAGTCTACCTTTGACAGAGTACACATTTGTACACCGATTTTTATAAAATTATAGTATATTATTGAGGAGACTTAAAGAATACTTTTTAATACTGTTCACATCATTTGATATATACAGGGTGAGCCAAAAATCGTATATTTTTAATAAGAGATTTATCCCTATATTTTTTTAGATATTTCTAGGTTTATCAGGTTACAAAATGGCATTCTTATTAACCTTTTATAAAAAAATAATTTTTTAATAAAATTAAATAAAATAATTGAGAAAATATTTAAAATGTTGTTTAATTTAGGCTTTTTAGTAGTTTTCAATTTTGAACGAAAAACTGGTTAGTTTTTTGATCAGCACTCTTTGGAGATTTAAAAACGATATTTACCAAAATTCTAACTGCTTTTTTTAAATTTGCTAAAAAATCATTTCTTTAAATTATTTTTTATCTCAAAGTCTACCTTTGCCAGAGTACACATTTTTACAACGATTTTTATTGATTGCAGTTTCTTGTTCGGGACCCTTTGGTAACTTTAAAATGATATTTACCAAAATCCTAGCTGCTCCTCTTTTCGAAATTTTTTAAAAATCCTTTTTTTATTTTAATTTTTGTTTATCTTACTTTTGACAGAGTACACATTTGTACACCGATTTTTATAATATGGAGTATATTGTTAACGAGACTTGGAGAATACTGTTTTCATACTGAACACAACATTAGATTTATACATGTAGGTATAACCCTGCAGGGTTAGCCAAAAATCACTTTTTTATGTAGTAAAAAGCATAATGCACAAAAAAGATTTATCTCCTTAATTTTATTCAAAATCAAATTTTCTCTCAGTCTTAATAATCCCATTTTTGAGCCTGATAAACATAAAAATATCTAAAAAAACATGGGTGGGTATATATCTTTTTTGCGTGTTATGCCAAAATCATGAATTTACGCTTTTGCTTTATTAAAAAAGCGATTTTTGGCTAACCCTGTATATATTAAATGATGTGCATAGTATAAAAAAGTAATCTCCAAATCTCCTTAACAATATACTCCAATATTATAAAAATCGGTGTACAAATGTGTACTCTGTCAAAGGTAGACTTTAAGATAAACAAAAATTTAAAAAAAAATCAAAAGAAGTAGCTAGGATTTTGGAAAATATTATCCCGAACAAGAAACTGCAATCAGTTTTTGGCGGCATTTTTATGTGACCTAAACTTCGTTCAGGCACACCTTGTACGGTTGTTGTTAATCCAAAGAGAACTAAAGAGAACGCTAAGAAAAAAGAGCTACTATAGTAGCTATATATATCGGTAGATGACTTACAAAAAATGTAATTGTTATCAGAGTAGCTACAAAAAACAGGAACAGAAAGTTATCTCGATACGTTTTCCGCAAAAAAGAAAAATGATTTGCTAAAGGAAACTTAAAAACGGATCAGCTACCTGACCTTAAAATATTCAGAAACCAATAACAAAACATGCAAAATATGTGATTTGAAATGAGAAAATCGTCGTAACGACCAAAAACCGTTTAACAAAGAAAAACGATTTCAAGGTGGAGAGCAGGATGCGAAAGTGGTGTGCCGATAGTGGGGTTTTGAGGGTTCAAACGCCCCGAAGGCTCAAAATTTTGAAATAAATAAATATTTTTGTTGTTTACTAATCTTGGGTTTTTTCTCTCCCCTCCCTTTCTCCTCCCCTCCCTTTCTCCTCCCCTTACGCTTAACCCCCCCTCAGACAAAGTTTCTGGGCACGCCAGTCCCGACCAATAAACATTTAAGCTGTAATCTATAATGCATGTGGAAATGCTCTGGTTAAGCAAATAAACTTGCTATTAAGTCGAGTCATAAGAGCAACCGAATATGCCTAAAGACCCACTTAGATTTTGAGATAGAAACTTTTTAATATTTTGTCAGAATCAATAAAAACATCAAAGTCGACTTTCTAATTCCACTACAAATATATTACCTCTTAATCTTGACGCTTGTTGTATTATTGCATTAATCTTCTTCATACTTTCCACACCTTCATTATAATTATGCAATCTTATGTTATTGCCATTTATAATTTCCTTATTTAAAACCATAAGTTCATTGTAATATTTGGGCATCTCTTTTCTAAAAACATTGATGAGTAAATCATATACACAAAGGGAAAAATACCAACAAGTCATTTAACCTAGCATCTTCTGCTCTTATCACCAATGTTCTTATTTGTCCCAAACGATCTGCTACATCAGTTCCAAGTCTTAAGCGAGCATCCTGGATTTCTTGTAGTTTTTTCATGAAATTTTGTATATTTTCTTCTTCGCTCGGAAAATTGGCTTTGGACTAAAACAACCAGGTTTATAAAATAATCTGACAGTATGTTCGTATGCTTTTCACCTCCAAGTTATCTAAGTTTAAAAATGACCCCAAAGATTGCACCAAATCCGCAGCTAAACCCAAGTTTTCAGCGTGTAAAGTAACTTTACCAGAAATCTCAAAAATCAAGACAATTTCTTGGTTATTTCGCAAGTTCCTTAGGTTTAAAATCAAGTTGGGTCCAGACTCGAACTCAACATCTGAAGAAAACAAGAAATTTTGATTTATCCACATGCAAATCCTCTGCAATCTTTCATTAACTCGAAATTCAACAAATTCTTTTGGTTTCACAGGGAAGTTATTTCTCTGAAGCGAGTACATGGCAAAACGTGGTAGTTGTCTTGTTACTTCAAAGACGTGAAACTGAATGCTGTTTGGGAAGCCTATTAAAGCCTAAAAAAGGATGTTTTTTTACTAAGGAATAATTAGTATTAAACGGTTTATAGAAAACCCCTTTTATCTTTACATTTTTAATTTCTACATACAATTCTAAGCAAAATTTACTATACCATGTCATATACCTAAAGTGAATAGTTTTCGAGTTATTAATTTTTGTTGTTAAAATTTGAGAAATGCGCGTCAATAAAAAATAGCCTAAAACTTTTTTGTCATTAGGTTTGCGAATATGGGGGTAGAATCTCAAAACATTGTTTAAAAGATTCCCTGTCAATTATAATTGACATAAATAAATAATTATTTAACAAATTACCTGGGCAAATTAGGGTAGGTAACTTGAAAAGTTTTTTTATTTTAAATGTAACACCAGGTATGTTTTTACATAATCAAATAGTAAATTATAACTACCTATTTCCTATACTTAAAGTTAAATTTCAGAGATATTTAACAATTTCTAAAATTTGAAATATTATTTTGTATTAACTACGGTTTCGCGAAAGGATCGAACGGTCGATTTGCAAGCGTTCAAGAAAGCGATTGAAACTTTTTACCTTATTTCTACATCTAAATGCAGTTCTTTTTTCAAAAAAAATCTCGTCCATTGTTTTTATTTTTATTTTTTTCTTCACTGTATTAAAAATGAAGATATTTCATTTTTTTTAATAACTTTTTTATTTCAAAACGTATCGATTTGAAATTTGGACAAAATGTAGATCTTACTAATGAGAAAAAATTTTGTTTAGATTTTAACGTACAGGTGATAATTTAGTTTAAAATTTAACAATTTTTAAATGATAAATATTAATAATTAAGTATAGCATAACACTTAAATGACGTTTAATATACAGGGTGTTTCACGTACGTAGTCCGTTAGAAGTTTTTAGGGAATCGCGAAAGACATCGATTTAAAATTTTAATAGCGTAAATTATTCGCTTTAGACTTTTTTCTTAAATTATTTTAAACAAAATAATACTTCCTGTTTTACCAGAAATGTCTTTAACTTTGTTATTTTAAACAGGACACCTCATATATTTTTACATTTTTTAATTCTACATAAAATTCTAAGTAAAATGGCTATACCATATCCTATACCTAAAGTCAATATTTTTTGAGTTAAGTTTTCAATCAAATATTTTAATTAATTTAAAAAAATGACAGATTTTGTGGTAACCATGGATACTGTCTCATTAAACCACATGTAGAATCTCACAGTTTTTTTGATACAAAATAGTATTGAAAATATTAGAAATTGTTAAACGTCTCTAAGGAAACAGTTATTATAATACCAATCGAAAGATTCTTTAATGTTCTATTTGATTATGTTAAAACATACAGGGTTTTACATTTATAATAAAAACGTTATTATTGTTTGAAGTTTGCCTAATTTCACGTGGTTTTTCTCAAGGTTGAAAAACATTTAAAAAATTAAATTATTTAAATAATGTTTTTATATTCCAAAAATTCCAAACCCCATGTCAGCAAACATGAGTATGAGTATGAGTATGAGTATGGGAACGTATGGCAAGCCCCAGATATATTGTCATCCACTGATCTCCCGGGGTTATATTACCCCCTTTCCGTTCTCCTGCGTATCCCGCCAAATCACAGCATTACCTGTGTTTGTTGGATCCGAAGTTTTTACGCCGGCTGGTAGATCCACCCTAGGAGTTCGTGGATGACAGTGTCAAAGGTTAAGGCAGCTCCCGGGATTTTTGTCAGCCGGGTCGGGCCATACGTCCAGTTTAGGAAGGGCTTTTGGAGGACATTGAACTGACCCAAAACTAAGTACAATCCGGAATCCTCCTAAACCAGGGCTTTAGTAATAACCCCATTCATTTGGTATTCCTGAATGGGGGTGGGTGGATTAGTATGCTGCTAGCGCCTTTCCTTGATGGTGTACTTCTTGATAGCCGCTTTAGAATTGTTTGCCCCCCTGTGCGTTATTGAGTCGTATCTTCCGAACCGAAGTGTTGCCGGCCGCACCCCGCCGTAATATTGCCCTCTGACTATGTGGAAATACGTTTAACCTACTGGAATTGTCGACCCTCGAATTATTTTTTTCCCACTGTGCATGATCCCAGTGATTCTTAGAACGCTTTACTTAATTTATGAACCCTTACGTCTTGGTAATCTATAGATGTAAACATAAATAAATAAATTTCTTTAGGATGGTTTCTTTTGCTTAATGTTTATCGTAACTTGAGTGATTAATGGCTTCTTATGTGCCCTTGGGTTTATGGTTTTTTTTTTCTGTTTCATTTGCATGAGAATCTTGGAAATTGTTTGCTACTAATTAATTTACCTGAAGAATTATTGTTAGTTAAAGGTTGTGAATTTCGTATTAACTAGTAATAATATTATGGGTGGACATGGTCATGCAATTTGGTAGCTACTTATCTAGTTTATGCAGACTTGGGACTTCGGGATATTTGCCATGCTGATGTGCTTAGATTAATCCTTATCGCATGCCGCACGCACGTGTGGTAGCCCAGGAAATTTTCATTGGAACTGATTGTCTCTCTCACACCTTTTAACCAGGTCAAACACTTGAGGACTTAGTCCAGGGGGAGGTACTACACACAATTTGCACTCATATGCACTTGGGACAGTTATCACTTGTAGAATCGATATTGATTTATTTTTATTTTACGGCGTTAACCAGTTATCCCGTGTAAAATCGATATTGATTCGATATTTTTTTATTTTACGGCGCACTTTTCGTTATTAAAATATAATTTTTGGCATAAATAGGGTAAATATACCTTTAACAACACAAATAATGAAGTTCTTTCATGAACGACAAAAAATTATTAAACGCGTAATTAAAAGTAAACATTTAATGCGATTATTAATTTATGATATATCTTCTCCGTCAGAAATTAAGGACTCCCAAGGACATGTTCTAGGAGCTACGAAGGATAATGGAATTTATATTACCTATTAAGAAAAAAAATGTTTTATTTAATTATCATAAAAATAATCCCCTATAATTTAATTGCAATCGCCATGGCAACCTTAATCAATTAATTTCACCAAAAGTAATTTCGAGGCTTAACGACCTTACAAGTATACTTAACTATAGTTAAAGTGTATTTAGAAAGTAATAAAGCTATTTGTAGCTAGGATTTTAATTGAGTTAAAACTTTTAACTTGGAAGCTAAACTGTTAAATTTAATTGCAACGAAGTTTTTTAAATAATGATGTACAAGACAGTAGACAGTTTGATTGATTACAATAACTTGAAAATAGTATATTGTGCGACTAGTGGGAAAAAGTGGAGATTCCTCGAGCGTGGTAACACGCGAGTGGAATCTCCTCTAAGTTAGCTCCATTGTAAATTAGGAAAAAGTGAGGTTAAATTCGTCTGACAGTTGTTAGATGCCAAATGTTAAATAAAATTGGCTTTAAATTCTTCGTAGATACATTTATAATAAAAACGTTATTATTGTTTGAAGTTTGCCTAATTTCACGTGGTTTTTCTCAAGGTTGAAAAACATTTAAAAAATTAAATTATTTAAATAATGTTTTTATATTCCAAAAATTCCAAACCCCATGTCAGCAAACATAATAACAAAAAAATTAGAGGCTATTTTTGATTAACGTGCATTTAGCAAAATTTTAACGAAAAAATTAATATCTTGAAAACTATTGACTTTAGGTATATACCTATAGATATAGTCTAAATCAAATTGTATATGCTATGAATATTTCAAATCCATATTATATCGTTTGCGTTTCTTCAGAAACACCCTGTATAGCATTATATTAAATATAAAATAATGCAAAATAAATAAGTACAAAAAATCGAAAAACAACTGAATAAAAAATATAGTTATATCTAAATAGCCGATTGCAACATAAAAAATAATAATAATTTGTTCGATTTTTACGAGAAACCATACTTTAGAAACCTGTGACGAGTGAGTTGACTGTATCTATGGTTACCACCTAATTTGTCATTGTTTATAATTTAATGTCGTCAATTGTTTCGGTTGTTATAAACAATTTATTGACAAAATTACTAATTAACTACCTACTTAAAAAAAATAGACAAGCAAAACATTTTTAAAATTTAAAAGTAACAGTATTTGCTAATTGTGAAAAAAATCTACAAAGCTTTAGGATGTCATTTAGATGAAGCACTAGCTCATTGGGGGCAATAAAATATAAAATTTATTTTATAAAATATTTTAATAACAAAAAAAATGTGCAACTGTTACAATTTAATAATCAAACAATGTTTTAGTCAAGAAGAGCAACGTCTAAAATTTAAAATCGATATCTTTTTTCGTTTTCCAGAAACTTCTAATGGACCAAGAATGTGAAAAACTCTATATAGTTTAAAAGTAATGGTACAAAATACATACTTTTATGTGTATATCAACGGGTGTATCTTTTAATAGGTATAAAGGCACGGAAACTTCAGACTTCAGTTGTGAGGCGGGTGGGTGTACAACATGTGTCTCTCCCTTAAAAATTCCTTCAGCGAAAATCATTACCGCTCTTATTATTGTTGTGTTGTTGGTTGCAATGAATATTTCTACATGAGGCTGCAATACATATACTATATATCATATATTATTAAAAATATACCTGAATTAGATTTAAAAGTAAAGATATACTTTGACATTAGGTTTTCCTTCATTAGTGTTTATAGCAATTTGCAATCTAGTATTAGCTGGTATGACTCCCTGGCTTTCAAAACTTTCAGTTTGATTTGTCACAGTTTCGTTGTACTTTGTGTTATTTTCATAATGTTTTAGTTCCATCATTAATGATTGTTTTTGTGCCAATAACATTCTTATAGTATCTTGTTCCATAGTTACACCAGGAATGGTTGGCATAATCTTTGTTGTTGTATATCCTTTGACTAAAAAATATTAAAGTATACTTTCCTATAGGAGCTGTTTATTGGTTTGAGGAAATTTCGGAAAAGTTTTCGATCAGAAGTGCAAATTTTTGTATATTACCTGAGAAAATTTATATATATATATATATATATATATATATTTATAATATTTGTAAGATGGAACAAGTACAAAGCTAAAAATAAAACGCGGTGGCTTTATTTACAATTAAAAACTTAATAAACATGTTGAAAAGTTTTATTCAACCACTGATTTGTAAATCTTTCGGTTTGGTTCTTCCTAAAATACCCTATCTATCTTAGTATGGACACATGGTATAGTATAAGGTATGGTATAAGAGTTTTTAAGTAACTTTTTCTACTCCCACCTTTAAAACGCCCTTTATCGTACATGTTTGTGACCTTTTAAATACACATTGACAAGTTGTGGCGCTTTAGTCACGGGCTGTTCATATAAACTTTTCAAATATTGGCGTTGAGAAACTATTTAATATTTTTGTATTTTTGTATTGAGATAATAAAATAATTTTCACATTTAGTATTATTTTACAAGAAAGGCAATTTATTTTAACGATTGTATGACATTTGACAACTCTTAACTAACTTAAAACTAACTTCAGCCCGTGACTAAAAACCTGTGGCTAACTTCAGCCCGTGACTAAAAACCTGTGGCTAACTTCAGCCGGTGACTAAAGTGCCATAAAGCCACAACTTGTCAATGTGTATTTTAAAGGTCACTTAGTGTCATGGAACCATCTACGATAAAGGGCGTTTTAAAGGTGGGAGTAGAAAAAATTTAAAAATATCTCAAAATATGTAACTGTCAATTTTGGTACATTAAAAAAAATGTTTTCTTTTATGCAACAAAAGTAAAAATTAATGCAAAACTATATTATATATTTTTAATAGTTTGATATCGAGACGTAAAAAAAATTAAAAAAAATGTTTTTCTTAATTTTTAAAATTTGCATCCCTATACGAGGTGTGTTCAGAAAATATGGGGAATTTTCGTTTTTTGAAACAAATATTTATTTATTCGTCTACATTAATGTTGTCGCCTTCAAAATAGTCCCCATTGGATATTATGCACATGTGCCAGCTCTTCTTCCAATACTCGAAACATAGCCTTTAGTTCTTTCGGCGATGCGCTTTTAATGTCATTGCAAAACGACGGCCATTTAAGGTTTTCTTTATTTTTGGGAATAGTCTGGCGAATATGGACGCTGGGGCAACATTACAGTATTGTTTTTGGCCAAATTTTTTTTTTCAAAATTTAACAATTTTAGAAAAAATTTTGCTGCAACGCGTTTCATACGCAAAACATTCGAAAAAATTTCATGGGATGAGCCAATCGATATACCAACATCATCAGCGACTTCTCTGATGGTTTATAACCATTTCTTCCACTTTTTCCATGTTTTTATTGGTTGTTAATGTGCTTGTGCGTTCGGGGCGTTTGTCATCTTCAACGTCTTCACGGCCATCTTGGAAACTCTTATACCACTTGTAAACTCTTGTTTTACTTTTAGCAGACTCACTATAGGCTTTTTTTTTAACATTTTACAGAATTTATTTAATTTTTTAAGCAAAATTGGATACAAATTCTTTGATCCATTTCTTTTAACGAACGAAATATCGGGGAGCTCATAAAACACGTCTAACCTTAGCGGCTGCCACAGACAAAGTAAACAATGAAAACAGATAAAGTTTTTATCATACTTCGTGGGCATGTATACCAACATAATAAAGAAAATTTTATAGCAACCCGACCCTCTGAACCTACGAAATTTAACAATTCCTGTTATTTTCTGAACACACCTTGTATAGCTTGTCATTCGGAAAAATTTTTCTTAATTAAATTTTGTTATATCTTGTACAGAAAAGCTACTAATGTAAAAAATGAGTTACTTGTATATATCCAGGGCATACTTAATTTTTTTAAAATAAAAATATATCACAAATCAAGCAGGGCTAAACCCCAAAAGATGGAATTTCAATTCAATTTTTTTGCCCTTTACACCTATTTATCGATCCGTGTACGTGTATGTTTTACCTTCTCCATCTACTGAAATGCATATTAAATCTGTTTTTCCATTAGATCTGTAGTCCCCTTCGACCACACCTGCCAATCCATGGTTCATATTGTCCTTAAAAAATACTTCACCCGTTTTTATAGACCTACAATCTATTTTACCATTAGACCATCCAGTAATAAGTTGCATGTTGCCTTGCCCAAGCAGATCGTAGCATTTTAACGATATAGTAAAGTTTTTAGACTAAAAAACATACTAAAATATCCATTATATTTTTTAGTTTTTATAAATATTACTTTAACTCTCCACAATCTTACTTCTTGCTCATAAACTCCCACAGTACCATTTGATACAGAATAAGCAAATCGGTTTTCCGGTAAAGCAGTTAAATTTGTAACCACTTCTGTTTCGGATAGCTCTGTTAATATTTTATCTTTAAATACTCTTATGTTGTAATCTTCTGAGCTTACAATTAACTAATAACAATTTATTTTTATAATTAATAATATTTAAAGAATATTGCTGTACCTCGTTAAGTCCGTCTTTGTTATAATCCATTAAGATCATCGATGTAACTACATCACCTACAGCAGTCCAAAATACTTCTTCCCCCTTGTGGTTATATCCATGAACAGAGGAATTACCACCCACCATTAAAATTGTAGTTTTCATATCCCTGAAGGATCCTAATGCTAAAGATTTTACTCCATCTGAACAATCCATGTAAAACACATCCTTGTTATCGTGAACATGGTAAACCAGGACATTTGTAGAAGTTCCTATAAAACTTGAATAAATTAAAATAATATTTCTTGTAGGTATTATATTCTAGTTTTAGTTTAGAAAAATTATTTATTATTATTATTATTATTATTATTATTATTATTATTATTTTACCTATTACAAGTATATCCTTATCATTATCTGGTAGAAACTGTCCAGAGCAAAGAGCTGTTATAGAATCATTTACGTTCAAAGTAGCTATTTCCTTATTTGATTCCGACCATATCATTCGTCCAGTGGTAACTGCATTTCTTCTATGAGGGCTATGAATAAGAACCTTAAACAATTACATATTTACATAATATGTAATAATATTATATCATAAACGATATTTTGTACTATAAATTAAAACCGAATGCTTACCTTTCCAGCTGTAGTAGCCGCAGTAACACATGGATGTGTTCCATCATATTTAGCAATAGTAACTAACCCAGGTTCTATTTTATAGTTAAGGTCTAAAGTAAAAACAGGACGTATTAGTTTATCCATCTTTATACTTGGTGTATCAAAACATTGTTACTCTGAAGTGGCTTACGATACAAACAAAAAGGTTGCTGAGGGAATATCGATTATTTTTAAATAAAAACAAATTAGGTAACTAAAATATATATTAAGAGCACAATTAAACAAAAAATAACTGAACCAAACCACTTAAATAATAGCTTTTCGTCAGTCTCATTAAATATATTATAACCTTAACTTTCCATTAATTATATTTTCATAAATTTCGTTCGTCAAAGGGCTGTAGGTTGAGTTCTTAGCATCTATAATATACAATTTGTCGTGAATTCTATTAACGTCGAATCCTTCATCCTGCAAATCCTTTTTCTTAATTTTAAAAGTGCCAGTTAGGTCCATTGATTTGGCGATTCTTAAGAATACCGGAATAGCGTATAATGGCAAGTTTTTTTTTAGACTAGCATATAGATTTTCTCGACTAAGGGTTCCATCAGGGTCTACTATTGTAACCATACCTGCTCTGCCTTCTGTTCCAGGTACCTAAAAAATAAATTATTGTTTACCATATTTATATACTTTTTTTTTAATTTTTTTTTTAAATTCAACTTTTTTAAATCAAAACTTGAAATCTACCTTTTATATATACATATATGTCAGTGGCGGCTGGTGGATTTTGGGCATCTCAGTTATTAGACATGTGACCCACATTAAATGTACATGAGTTTATAATGACATTATATAGACAAGTTCTGCGTAAGCCCGAATTTAAATTGAAGTTTGCGAAAAAAAGTTAGTTTTTAAGTGTGCCCCCCAGCCTACTGCCCCCCCCAAATTAAAATTATTCAAATTAAAGTGGTACAATATTTAATTCACTGAAGTTTATCAACAAATTTCAAATTTTATTAAAAAAATTCAAGTATTACAGATTTTATACCATTTCCATTTCTATTCTATCTCAGCGCGACTGATTTAACTCATGGTGGGCAATGGGATCGTTTATAAGTGACGTTTAAAGGGCGCGTGCGCCAAATCTCTGCCATTTTGACGCGTCTTGGTTTTTATCCGGAGAAAAAACTTTACGCCGTAAAAAGATCGCGCGCGTTGAAGCCGATATCACGGGACATGGCCAGCCAATGGCATCAGCCGCGTAGCCTGTGTGGGAGAAGTGTTTTGTCAAACATAATTAGCAGACGAGCTAAATTCATTAATATTGCGGTTCGACGAATTAAAAATGGGCCCATTTTCCCAAAGACATCAGACGAAATCAAAACACACGCACTGAGGAATCAGCTGACGTTCAAAGGTGAGCAAACGCGCGCCTTTGAAACTCGTAAATGGGGTGGCGTCAGGAAGAACGCGTTGACGCGAAGGCCCAGGAAACGCACGCAAACCTCAAACGCACGCGTGTGACTCGTAAACCCGCCATTAAACAAAGAATATCTTATAAAGCTTTAGATATAATTTTTAAATTTAAACATAAATGGGTAGAATATTTGTATTGTGATGTTTGTTATTTGTCAAAAAAATGTTTTTTCCAATGGTTTAAAACTTTTCAATAATTTACCAAAAGATATAAAGTATTGTGATAATTATAATAGCTTTAAGAAAATGTTGCGCAATTATGTACAAAAATATATTAGTAGTAAACAAATTGTTATAAATAGCATGGCTAAATAAACTATATTTTATTTATTTATTTTTTTATAATAATTAATTTATTTGGTTTATTTAAAACCAGGTAATGAAAACCTGTATATTAAAATAACGGTGTCAGGTAATAAAAAACTGCATTCTATCTTAAAAAAGTTGTACTATTTGAATTAGTACCAGAATTTTTTACTACATCTGTCATTGTCCATTTAAGACACCTGATAAGAGGATGTAAAAAAATAAAAGGTGTAAAAAAAAGTTCTCAAGATGACAGCGGCCAAAATTATAGTTGTCAAAAATTACAGATCTCGAAGATTTTATGGCACTGCATTAACTGGACGCTCTTAAACTGTTTATTATTACAATGCTAACGCATAAGCGTATACAGGGCTTCACAAAAGTCCCGGGACGGAGCTATTAGTTTTGAACGAGTAAAGAAAAAAAATTGAGGATCACCAAAGAATTACAAAATCTACATTCTTAGATACCTAGTTTAGAACTTCCATGTAACGTGGAGTTGGGGTATGACCACCCTACCATTTGTAAATGGTTGGGTTGCCCCTGTCGAGTTTCATCTTATTTTAAAGGTACCTAATGAAAAAAGAAACATATCCTATAAACATAAATCCGACATCTTAATTCTCTGAATAATTTTGAGATTTTTGTTTTAATGTTTTTAATGTTTTTTGCACTATGGAATTTAAATTAAAAAGTAATAACATTACTTTTTTAAAACACAGATGTTGTTTGTGACATGATATCAATGCTGCTGTAGTGTTGTTTTTTGTGGCATAATATCAATTGCGGTTGTAGTTAATTGCAGAATGAATAAATGATTTGGAAAATCGCATACTTAAAGAAACCACCAATATCAGTAGAGATATACTCCTAAAGGTTCAAAATTCCATTTACGAGGGTTTGAGTCATTGAGAGATTGAAAAGGGTCCAATTTGAACATTTGTTTTAAAAATCGTAATAAACGTGCAAAAACCATGTAAACATTTTATTTTTCAATTTGGTAGTCAACCCCTCATAATTCTTCAAATAATTAAGATATTGAGTTTTGGTTTATGGGGATGTGTTTCTTTTTTAATTACCTTTAAAATAAGGTGAAACTCGACAGAGGTTGCTTTTTAAAATCTATCTAAGAATGTAGTTTTTAAAATTCTTTAGTGATACCCATATTTTAAATTTTTTTTTATTTACTCCTTCAAAACTGTTGGGTATATAAAAGTTATATTGATAAATTAAATAAATAAAATTGTTCGCACTAAATATGTTGAGTTTTTCAAGAAAGACTAAACAATATCACAAACATTATCGTTTCACTTCAACGCATTTTTTTAAGTCTATATTATATTTACACACAGGTGGTCGTTTTAAAAAATGTTTTCAAGTTGAAAAAGCAATTAAAAACCTTAAAATACCCCAGTTTAAAAAAGAAATGAAAAATTATTTGTTGACTTGTTATTAAACCTCCTTTTTAATGTTTTTAATGTTTGCTACAAGCTTGGTAATGCTATTGATTATAGTTTAAGTTTTTTTTTGTCTAAAATATAAATATCAGCTCTGCTGCTTTTTAGACCCTTTTGTTGTTAAAATGCATACATAAGTACTAAAGATATTTTTTTTTGTGTAAAACTATAAAATGTATATACATCCTAACAACAAATAAATCTATTATTATTATTATTATTATTATTATTTATTCATTTTATTTTATTTCCACGTGCCTACGACATAAGGTCAAAACATAAAACTATTTCCAATTTCATATCTTTTTTTAACTTAAATTTAACCAATTACTTAATTTTTTAGATATAGGTGGTTCATTTCCACTCTATATGTGTTTTTGAAATAAACTCGTTAAAATTAAATAAGTCAAACAATAGGCTTCTAAATTTACGAGCAACCAATGAATCTACTGGAAATTGCCCAAATATTTAATCAATATTTAAAACAGTATGTACAATAATATACCAAAAGAGCAGACAATGGATCAATTTTTGGATTATCATAGGGGCGGTTAAAGCGGCCGACCGGGGCCTGGGGAGATCATAGGGACCCGGAAAGTTAGACGGAAACAATTTTTTTAATACAAAACTTTTTTATTTATTATTTACGTAGTTTACTTTTGAACTGACAACATGGCAACTATTTATTTAGCAATTATAATATTAGGTATTTGTATATCATGCATGTAATGGTGCTACTAGATAAACAACCAGATTGCCCGACTAAGGCAAAAAGAAAATCTAATCTGGTATGAAGAACACAAACGGTCAAAGACCGGTGTTTCTGCGGGCATAAAAGAGGTATCTCAACAGGGCAGTCAAGAAATACTACACCTCGGAAAAGAGATAACCGATCTTCAAGCGGGCATCATTGCCATACAACTGGGTTTCCAAGGAATGAGGGAGAGCAATCCCACGGAGAAGTTGCTGACCATCATTACACACGAACCAGAACCAATCCAGATACTGGAGGCATTTGAAATCAATTCGAAGGCCGTACTAGAATGTCTGAGAGATATGACGGCATTAACCGAAGCACAAAACCAGATAACTCTTATCCTTGTGCAAGAAGAAGGCAGAAACAGTTCGATGAAACTTCGCAGCTGATGAAGCCGAAACCCTGCTGATGTGGCCGGAACCCACATGCGGCACTAGCCAAGAATCGTCCAGGAAAAAACTAATTGACTGGACAGAACTACAACACAAACAATACTGGAAAAGCCTGTCTGGTCTGGAGCATTCGAAAACACTTTTGGACAATCCATCTGCTGAAGGGCAAAAACCAATGGGGACATATACCAGGGCCCAACTAAAGAAAGCATTAGGCCTTCTCACAGGCCATGCTCCATTCAAAAAACATCTTCACAAAATGGGGATGACAGATGACCCCTTGTGTAGAGGATGCGAAGAAGAAGAGGAAACACCTCTTCACATTATGTATCAATGTGAGGGATACAACACCTTAAGAAGAACACACCTGGGAGAGTTTAAACTCACACCAGAACTTTTAAAATTGCTCCCGCTGCCTCGGCTACTGCGCTTCATAGAAGCAACGGAGGTGGAGCTATGGAAGTTATACCATTTAGGGCACAATAGGACTGCGAAACCAAACCGCAGTGCAGGGCTTTGAACCACCTAACGGGGGAGTTTTAGTGGGTATACGTCAATAGACGGAGTCCCACAGTACTCGGGGCCCCAAGAGGAACCGAGTGTTCGTAAAGAATTTCTTCGCCGGCCAAAGAAAAAAAAAGGTCCTACTTCACTTAATTTTGGGATAAGAAATTACGTGATTATAATTATTTTCAAAAGTTGACTAATTTTTGAATATTTTTCTCTTTTAGAAAAAATGTATTCCATTAAAATTTATTTATTCTAAAATTTTAACGAAATTAGGCTATTTTTAAGCGGTATTTAATCTTTTTGTATTTTCCCCCTTTTGAGAGCTATCTGACTACTTTTTGAATAATTTATGAAAATAAAATTATTTTTATAACTAAATTTTGCAACCAATAGGTATTATTATGTACCATAACTCCTAATCCCTAAAGAAGCAAAAGCCACTAGTCGTTAAAGATTTAGCACAACAGTTATTGTTTAGTTTAGATTGAAAATTTGAAGAGTACTAGAAAAAATATTAAGGGGATTGGAGGGGTCCAAAAACTCCCTTTGCCCGGGACCCGACCAATCCTTAAACCGTTACTGAATGAATATATAGATGGTTGTAAATTCAATTTTATGTATAATAGCTTTTTCTTGCCTTCTTCTAAAAATAAAGATTATAAGAAAAATTCGACGCCTGGCGACGCACTGTGACTACTATTAAAATTATTTGTTTGTTTGTTTACCCCCACATTAAGCTATGGCTTTATTGCGATTTAGTCACAGGCTGAAGTTAGCGGGAGGTTTTTATTTACGGCCTGAGGTAATGGAAGTGATTAAATAATTTCTCAACGTGAATTTTAAGAAACACCTTTCTGGTCTTGTATTATTGATATTGAGAAATTTTTTTTATCGTCACAAGATTTATGGACGGCACCTTGAGCAAAATTATGGTTTTTGGATTCAGCGTGCCCAAATTACCCTAGAAAAGTTTTTGTCCACCCTGTAGCAAAATGACTATTGACTAGTTTATTAATAAATAAATGAACATACCACTACTCCATAAACAATAGAATCCTTTAGTTGAATATAATTTGTAATAACAGCTTCAATTTCAGTCGTAGCAACATTTTCACCTTTCCACCTAAAGGTATCGCCAGTTCTATCCTTAAAATAAAAATACCCCATCTCATCTTGTACCAACAAATCGCCAGTATTAAAATACGCGTCCCCTTTTTTAAAAACATCGGTAATTATTTTTTTCTGGGTTGCGTTTTTATCAGCGTATCCAGTAAAGTTTCGAATTGTTCTATTTACATCAATTCGTCCTATAAATAATCCAGGTTCACCTATTTTGCATTCTATGCAAAGTTCTTTTGTGTTTCTCAATGGTTCTCCAGTGGCTTCGTCGCTTTTTATCAAGGATACTGGGTACAGTCCCATAGAAAGTCTGGGAACAAAACCAACTGCGCCTTCTTTGTTGTCTATATTCACTAAAAGAAACAAGGGATATTAGAACTGACATAATTGCATGAACCCACTATTAAAGAAAAGTAAACTTGCAGTGGTTAAATAGTTTATTTTTAATTTTCTTTCTTTGATTTTTTTCATTAATCTAGCCGATTTGTAAATAATCATAGCAGGCACCTAAATATAAACTAGAATTTACAAAAAGGGTTTAAAAAATTACTTATAAATTTATTAGTATGTTACTATTAGAAAACTTACAGTCAATATATAAAAAAATCTCCATTAATTTCCTGTGTTGTTGTTAATTTAATCAATAATAATTATGTATTAGGTTATATTGGGTTTTCTTAAGGAAATAAACAAAACGATTTTTAAAATATATGTAGGAGCAGTTTTTAATTATCCAATTTTGTTTAAATTTTGACAGTTTTCAGTTACCAAAAACATTAATTTTAATGTGAAGTTTTAAATGTAAGAGCAGTTTTTAATAATTATTATCCAATTTTGTTTGAATTTGGGCAGTTTTCAATTACCCAAAATATTTTTATGCCTTTGAGCATTTAAGTTCTTTGAGCTTTGACATTATTTTAAACTTTTGAGCTTTTGAGCTTTTTGTAATCTTTTAATATTTAAACAAATTTAGAACTACTGTGCAAATTTGTCCTACCATTTATGCACCTGTGCAAATTTTGTTCAAATATTATATTTAGTGTGCGGATTTTTAGTTGACCTTTGTGAGTATGTTAGCTTACACATAAAAAATCAAATAATATGAACATATAACTATTAAGGCCGTATTACAGCCGGAAATTCTTCTTGCAGTAATTTGCATGTTGTTTTACAGTCAGAAATGGCAAGACAACTTGCTGTTTATTACCGTGCTACCAACCGAAGAAAAATATACGATTTTGTTAACACTATGTTTATATGTAATATATAAAGTATACTATAGACTCTAGTATAGTATAGAGATATTTAAGAATTAATGAGTAAAATGGGTACTAGAACTTTGAACACAATCATAAAACAAATAACCTTAAACTGTTTTAGTCAAACAGCGTCTCTTTAGGGAATTTTTAGTAGGGTTGGCAACAATAACAATATTCCCAAAAAAATGTATTTTAAAATATAAAACGGATTTTTCTTAATCTCATAATCTCACCGATTCAATTCATATGGCCGGTTCATACTTACAGAGGCACCAAGCTATAAAAATCCGCACACTAATTATTAGGGATGGGATTTTAGTTATTTTACCTTTTTTTAACCAATGTAACTATTTAAAAACCAATAATCCCAAAATGTGTTTTAAAAGATTTTCTTTTATATGAACCTAACTTGTTTTCACCTTTTTTACCTTTTTTGGAGGTTTTTGCTTTTAACTACCTTTTTTATATTTTTGTTACCTATTTTTTTAACTTTTTTTCACCTTTTTTACCTTTTTTGGAGGTTTTTGCTTTAAACTACCTTTTTATACTTTTGTTTCATATTTTTTAATTTGTCAGTTTATTTTCATATATTTGTTACCTATTTTTACGTATTTTTACTTATTTTATTTTTTTTGTTCTTTTTAAAATTTGCGCCAATATTTTATCCAGGGCGTGCAACTCAACGGTATAGAATTTTTTCTTATGGTTACAGACTGTAACAGTAACTTTCTTTACAGTTACCTTCTTTGTAGTGACTCACTACTAGTGAGCTTTTATGTTCTGTCATAGAACTTCTGTGTAGTGAGTGTCACTCAGTAAAACACAGTTTATTGCATAGAAATAGTTTATCGTGGGTATGTTCTGTGTTTGGGTATGCGGCTAAACAAAATTATAAACGAAACTTAAACTTTTAATGTTTTTTTTTACCTAAAATGCTGTATTTTTAACCTAAAATGCTTTTTTAGTACCTTTTTAGTTACCTATTTTTCAGTTTTTAGTACCTAAATATCCCATCCCTACTAATTATAATACGACGCGCGCGCCGTTTTGTAAGTTTTGCTTTAACCCGTCCGCAAAGAATTTTTGCTCAAAAAAATTTAAAATTATCCTGTGCCCGTTTTAAGACCTCAAATGCTTTTTTTTAAATGGCGAATGCGCCGGGATTAAGACTAATTTACCCCCTTAGGAAAGGAATTTCAAAAAATACATTTTTAGCTGTTATCCATATGGCCATGTTATTATAGAAATGCACTGTTAAAATTTTAGGTCCAGCGGTTTGGTCTGGGCGATGATGAATCAGTAAGGAAATGTTATATACAGTGTGTCCAACTTAAGACCTTACCGCCCTTAAAAATTTGCATTTTTTAACCGATTAACTTTTTTGTTGTTGGATAGATCTCTGAAAAAGGCTATGTCGCATATGTTTTAATGACTAAACTAATGGGCCATGAGTCATGGCCAACTGTGGTTAGGGATTTTTGCAAAGCAAAATTAACCACGGATTCTTATTTGGAACCATTTAAAACACCACTATACCACTTTAAATTGCTTTTAAATACAGGGTCCCAGCTGGTCATTGTTTAATTTTTTAATACTTTTTATTAGGAATTTTTTTAAAGCAAAAGTAAAGACGGATTTTTATTCGGGACCACTAAACAATTTTTTATCGCTCTTAAATAGGGTGTTCTTCAGTTTTTGTACTAATGTTTTTACGACAACAAAATGGTTTAATTGAGTATTGCCATTAAAAAAAACTGAGTTGGCGTGGCTACAGCAGTGAATGTCATTTTTGTGGTCATACTGATTCCCCCCACATATCCTAGAAACGGTTTTGATAAATTTTTAATCTCTTTTATGTCCTGACTGGTATTATGAAGTAAGGTTATAATGCCATCGTACTACTATAATAATAATAATTTAAATAATTTAATATAATAATAATAATTTAAAACCATTTTTTTCAAATTTTTCGAATATATTTTCTCCCTTTCAAAAAATCGTAAGTTGAAAGTTATAAACGAAACGATGAACGAATTTTGACGTATTGCTGCTAAATTTTGGAATTTATAGTATATATTATTATATACTAATACTAAAAACTCATAAATTTCAACAAATTACACTGTGCAACAATTTTCGGGCCATCGAAATCAAACCTCACCGGACCATTTTTTTCTGAAAATATACCTATCCAATAGCAAAACCCTCGCTGGGTTTGTAAAAGTTAGCTCGAATTTTTTTTTTATAGCCGTTTGTATTTTCGATCTTCATATACCCCAATTTAGACCTATAAATCGATTTTTTTGCATATATTCGATTTATATCGTCAAGATTTTTTGTAGAAATATAGTTACAGCACAAATAAACCCATTTTGTGAACAACCTTTATCCCAAAAACCCAATTTTTGAGACCAAACATTGAAAAAAATTTTTTTTTTAATTTTTTGATAATATTTAAAATTTCTTGGTACTTCTTCTGGCAAAAATGTTGTAAATTTTGGAATATCTCATTATTATCCATCAAATAAGCAAACTTAAAGTTCAGTTTTGTGTGCGTATTTTATAAATTACTTCTTTTAGTAAAAAGAAGTAATTTATAAAATACGCACACAAAACTGAACTTTAAGTTTGCTTATTTGATGGATAATAATGAGATATTCCAAAATATTCATATTTTCACACTTAACACCAAATATTTTGCCGAAAAATATGTAGGAAAAAAGTGAACAGATAAAATAGAATTGTAGAAATGTACAGAGAGTTTGATTTTTATTTTGTATTTATTTATTATATCAAAACATTGAGTAATCTGATTCATTGCTTCATTTCGCATATATTCGATTTATATCGTCAAGATTTTTTGTAGAAATGTAGTTACTAAACAAATAAACCCATTTTGTGAACAACCTATATCCCAAAACCCAATTTTAATATTTAAAATTTCTTCATACTTCTTCTGGCAAAAATGTTGTAAAGTATACTAAAAGAAGTAATTTATAAAATACGCACACAAAACTGAACTTTAATGAGTATGAGTATGAGTATGGGAACGTATGGCAGGCCCCAAATATATTATCCTCCACTAATCTCCCGGGGTTATTTTACCCCCTTTCCGTTCTCCTGCGTATCCCGCCAAATCACAGCATTACCTGTGTTTGTTGGATCCGAAGTTTTTTCGACGGCTGGTAGATCCACCCTAGGAGGTCGTGGATGACAGTGTCAAAGGTTAAGACCGCTCCACGGATTTTTGTCAGCCGGGTCGGGCCATACGTCCAGTTTAGGAAGGGTTTTTATAGGACATTGAACTGACCCAAAACTAAGTACAATCCGGAATCCTCCTCAACCAGGGCTTTAGTAATAACCCCATTCATTTGGTATTCCTGAATAGGGGTGGGTGGATTAGTATGCTGCTTGCCTTTCCTTGATGGTGTACTTCCTGTTCGTCGCTGTCTGAGTTGGATTTCGGTTCCTGATAGCCGCTTTAGAATTGTTTGCCCCCCTGTGCGATATTGAGTCTTATCTTCAGAACCGAAGTGTTGCCGGCCGTACCCCGCCGTAATTAGTGCCCTCTGACTATGTGGAAATTCGTTTAACCTACTGGAATTGTAGACCCTCGAATTATTTTTTTAGGATGGTTTCTTTTGCCTAATGTTTATCGTAACTTAAGTGATTAATGGCTTCTTATGTGCCCTTGTGTTTATAGTTTTTTTTTACTGTTTTATTTGCATGAGAATCTTGGAAATTGTTTGCGACTAATTAATTTTACCTGAAGAATTATTGTTAGTTAAAGGTTGCGTATTTCGTATTAACTAGTATTAATATTATTGGGTGATCATGGTCATGCAATTTGGTAGCTACTTATCTAGTTTATGCAGACTTGGACTTCGGGATATTTGCCAGGCAGGTGTGCTGAAATTGATCCTTATCGCATGCCGCCCGCACGTGTGGTAGCCCAGGAACTGATCGTCTCTCTCACACCTTTTAACTAGGTCAAACACTTGAGGACTTAGTCCAGGGGAAGGTACCACACACAATTTGCACTCTTTTGCACTTGGGACAGTTATCACGTGTAGAATCGATATTGATTTTTGGTATTTTACGGCGCACTTTTTGCACTTTTTGCACTTTTCGCACTTGTTTGTTTATTTTTTTATTTATTTATTACCGATTACCGGTATTTCCGCATACTTAGATTCGCTTTTGATACTTTACTACGTTTGTATCGTATACGCTGCTTAGGAGAGGTCTCGTTAACTATCTTTGAGCGTCCTTACACTTCAAGAGTCAAGACCCAACTGAACTTTAAGTTTACTTATTTGCTGGAAAAGTTTACTTATTTGCTGGAAAACAATTTTCAAAAAAGATTTTAAAAAGTTTACTTATTTGCTGGAAAACAATTTTTAAAAAAGATTTTCCAAAATATTCATCTTTTCATACTCAACACCAAATTTTTTGTAGAAATCTTTGGAAAATCTGTAGGAAAAAATTGAATAGATAAAATAGAACTGTAGAAAAGTACAGAGAGTTTGGTTTTTTATTTTGTATTAAATTTATTATTAAAAAACTTTTTTATATCAAAACATTGAGTAATCTGATTCATTGCTGAAGAATTCCATCCCTTCCACTTCTTCTCCTTTATTTCCTAGCTCTTCATTTTAATTTTTTGATTAATCACTGGAGAATTTCATCCCTTCCACTTCTTCTCCTTTATTTTCTTGTTCTTTATTTTCATTTTCTTCCTGATCGTAGTGAAAAATATGCTTACTTCACCAAAATGTTTCGGCTAGGCTGGTACTCGTTTTCCTCTTTATCTGGACTCAAATGGCATCGCAGTTTGATGATTGTGTCGATAACTGTCGACTGAAGTAGTCCAAATGGGAAATGAATTTTTAGCGACATATTGACTCCAATTTTGAAAAAATACATCCAACATTCGTCGCACAGATCCTTCATAATTGGGAGAACGATGTTTGCCTAAAAGTCCAACGATGATTTCTCTTATCGACGCCCACGCAACTATCTCATTGTGAACCAAGGCCCTGTCAAACTCTTCATACTTTAGCAATTTCCGAATATCAGGACCATTTAAAACGCCTGGAATGAAATGAATATAAAAAATATATAAAATGAAGGGATGGAATTCTCCAGTGATAAATCGAAAAATTAAAATGAAGAACAAGAAAATAAAGGAGAAGAAGTGGAAGGGATGAAATTCTCCAGCAATGAATCAGATTACTCAATGTTTTGATATAAAAAAGTTTTTTAATAATAAATTTAATACAAAATAAAAAACCAAACTCTCTGTACTTTTCTACAGTTCTATTTTATCTATTCAATTTTTTCCTACAGATTTTCCAAAGATTTCTACAAAAAATTTGGTGTTGAGTATGAAAAGATGAATATTTTGGAAAATCTTTTTTAAAAATTGTTTTCCAGCAAATAAGTAAACTTTTTAAAATCTTTTTTGAAAATTGTTTTCCAGCAAATAAGTAAACTTTTCCAGCAAATAAGTAAACTTAAAGTTCAGTTGGGTCTTGACTCTTGAAGTGTAAGGACGCTCAAAGATAGTTAACGAGACCTCTCCTAAGCAGCGTATACGATACAAACGTAGTAAAGTATCAAAAGCGAATCTAAGTATGCGGAAATACCGGTAATCGGTAATAAATAAATAAAAAAATAAACAAACAAGTGCGAAAAGTGCAAAAAGTGCAAAAAGTGCGCCGTAAAATACCAAAAATCAATATCGATTCTACACGTGATAACTGTCCCAAGTGCAAAAGAGTGCAAATTGTGTGTGGTACCTTCCCCTGGACTAAGTCCTCAAGTGTTTGACCTAGTTAAAAGGTGTGAGAGAGACGATCAGTTCCTGGGCTACCACACGTGCGGGCGGCATGCGATAAGGATCAATTTCAGCACACCTGCCTGGCAAATATCCCGAAGTCCAAGTCTGCATAAACTAGATAAGTAGCTACCAAATTGCATGACCATGATCACCCAATAATATTAATACTAGTTAATACGAAATACGCAACCTTTAACTAACAATAATTCTTCAGGTAAAATTAATTAGTCGCAAACAATTTCCAAGATTCTCATGCAAATGAAACAGTAAAAAAAACTATAAACACAAGGGCACATAAGAAGCCATTAATCACTCAAGTTACGATAAACATTAGGCAAAAGAAACCATCCTAAAAAAATAATTCGAGGGTCTACAATTCCAGTAGGTTAAACGAATTTCCACATAGTCAGAGGGCACTAATTACGGCGGGGTACGGCCGGCAACACTTTGGTTCTGAAGATAAGACTCAATATCGCACAGGGGGGCAAACAATTCTAAAGCGGCTATCAGGAACCGAAATCCAACTCAGACAGCGACGAACAGGAAGTACACCATCAAGGAAAGGCAAGCAGCATACTAATCCACCCACCCCTATTCAGGAATACCAAATGAATGGGGTTATTACTAAAGCCCTGGTTGAGGAGGATTCCGGATTGTACTTAGTTTTGGGTCAGTTCAATGTCCTATAAAAACCCTTCCTAAACTGGACGTATGGCCCGACCCGGCTGACAAAAATCCGTGGAGCGGTCTTAACCTTTGACACTGTCATCCACGACCTCCTAGGGTGGATCTACCAGCCGTCGAAAAAACTTCGGATCCAACAAACACAGGTAATGCTGTGATTTGGCGGGATACGCAGGAGAACGGAAAGGGGGTAAAATAACCCCGGGAGATTAGTGGAGGATAATATATTTGGGGCCTGCCATACGTTCCCATACTCATACTCATACTCATTAAAGTTCAGTTTTGTGTGCGTATTTTATAAATTACTTCTTTTAGTATACTTTACAACATTTTTGCCAGAAGAAGTATGAAGAAATTTTAAATATTAAAATTGGGTTTTGGGATATAGGTTGTTCACAAAATGGGTTTATTTGTTTAGTAACTACATTTCTACAAAAAATCTTGACGATATAAATCGAATATATGCGAAAAAAAGTCTAAATTGGGGTATATGAAGCTAGAAAATACAAACGGCCATAAAAAAATAAATCGAGCTAACTTTTACAAACCCAGCGAGGGTTTTGCTATTGGATAGGCATATTTTCAGAAAAAAATTGTTCGGTGCGGTTTGATTTTTTGTGTTGCACAGTGTTATTTATTTAAGAGTAGAAAAGCTAGGTATTGAAAAAATTAAAAAAAAAATTAATAGGGAAGAGTAGTACTTTCAAATGGCAAACAAGTTTTGTTGAGAAGGAATACGTTTGGATGTAATATAACTTTTTGAAAACCTGATGTGGCGAAGCAATTATAAGACCAGATTATGATTTAGGACGTCAAAAACCTTTGGAGAGGTATAATCTGGCATTTGTTTTAAAACTTTGTTATAGACATACTTAAATTAGAGTTTCCTTCTGTTGCACCATAGAATTCAAATACTTTTTCAATTTTAAAAGTTTCCACAAACTTCTTCCATATTTGTGGTCTTAGACCATTTCCAAACATTATTTTAACTGGGTGATCAATTGGTGTTTCTTCTTTATAGGCAATTAAAATATAACGACACATTTCTCCAATATACTGAGCAATCTAAAATATAAAAATGTTCAGTGTTATTATAATTTTGTGTTTTTCTGTTATTCATAATTTTGCATCCAACAGATTTTATTTAAGTTTGAAGTTAATAAATAATATAAATTGTCATAAATTCTACTCACAGTGCAGTTGTATTTCTTACAATCAGCCCAATAATTGCTGGCGGAGAATTTCTTTCTTAAAGCCATTGAATTTCCATATATCAAAGTTTGCCCAATACCCATAATACCTCCAGCGGTGTGGTACAGTGGTAAAGGAGTATAAATAATATCATATACATCAAAGCAGCCAAAAATGTGCATACCACACGTGATGTACATAAACCTGAGATTTGTTAAAACAGCAGCCTTAGGAAGTCCAGTGGTGCCAGATGTATAAATGTAGAAAAGTTTGTCTTGGGGTTCGCCAAGCAGTGTTTCTGGAAGTTCGGTTTTTGAAGCAGATTGTATTTCTTGCATCAAGTTTAAGGAACCATTTAGGATTGATGTTTTGGATATTTCTTCATTAAATTGGTATATATGTTGAACTTTAAGTTTTTCTTTAATATTGTTAATAACTGAAATATTAATTTAATTTTTAATACAGGTATTTTAAATTTATTTAGCTTATTAAGAAACTTAATAGGCCAATAGACTGTATATTATACAGTCTTAATAAACAATTATATTTTATTACCAGTTTCATATAATCCTCCATGTATAAGTACTTTGGCTTCAGATATGTTTACACAATGTGTTAAAGAATCTTCAGTGAGGTTTGTATTTATTAAAGCTGTAAGTATTCCCAATTTTGACAAACCCAGCCATATACCCACGTATTCAGGACGATTTTCCAGCATTAAGGCGACAATATCTCCTTTTTTGTAACCCTTCTCCTTAAAATGATTTGCTATTTGATTGCTGAATTGGTCGAGCTAACAACAAAGGCATATATTAAAATAGGAGTTCAATAAGTCACTAGGTAATTCTATAAATTTGTTCATTTTTACTTCAGATTTGTCTTCGTATTAGTCTTATTATGCGGAATTCACTAATCAACCAGTTTGTAGACTACCCTTGTATATAAAGTTTATTACATTATACAAGGTGTCCCTAAACATAGGGGCATAAATTTAGAAGCAGATTAAGCAAGTCAAAATAAGACGAAAATCTAAATAAATATTTTTTATAATTACGTATGTTTAAAAGATAAAGAGTAATAAAGTGTTACTTATCACATCCGTTTTTTTTTAAATAACTTCTACTATGGTAGACTTGGAAAGGTGATATTTTGCGAACAGTCACTTACTTTCAAAACACATATTCAAATATAATTACAATTATTCAAGTGAACACAGTGACGTAGAAACAGGGGTTTTCTTAAACTTATTGTCCCATACAAACTTTGAGGTTAGGTTTTTATACCATTTGATGCAATTTTTCGATTACTCAGTTCAGCTACTATTAAAAAGGTGTACATCTCAAACTTCGATGCAATAAACCGTTTTCGAGATATTCGAGATTACAATAATTGTTATATCGCATTAAAGGATTAAATAAACTACAATTTTTTTTAATGTGACGGTCAGGAAAAAAAAATTTGTTATCATTTACCTCTTAATCCTTTTAAATAATGCGATATAACAATTATTGTAATCTCGAATATCTCGGAAACGGTTTATTTTATCGAAGTTTGAGAGGTAGGTACACCTTTTTTTATGGTAGCCGAACTGTGTATTCGAAAAATTGCATCAAATGTTATAAAAACCTAATCTTAAAGTTTGTATGGGACAATAAGCATAAAGCAACCCCCGTTTCTACGACACTGAGTTCACTCAAACAATTGTAAGTGTGAATATGTGTTTTGGTAGTAAGTGACTGTTCGCAAAATATTACCTTTCTAAGACTACTATAGTATAAGTTATATTAAAAAACTGATATGATAATTAACACTTTATCACCCTGTATCTTGGAAACACAAGTAATTTGGATAAATATTTAATTAGGTTTTCGTCTTATTTTGACTTGCTCAATCTTTTCCTAAATTTATGCCAATAATGTAGGGACACCTTGTATATAAAGTGTATAATTACATTATATTGTAAACACAAATATTTACTTTCAGGGACTATTTTATGCCCATTTAACATTATTTATGATCTTGCTATACCTTTAAAAAATTGCAATATAACATAATCTTTTAAAACTTTAAAAATATCTTTTTCTGTAAAATATTTTACTGTCACCGTAGGCGGATAAAATTTTTAATTTGATTTTTATTAAAATTTAATCGTTAAAATATAATTAACATTTATTCCGTAAATAAATTAATTTATATTAGTATGAGTATAAGAGACGTATAACCGGCCCCATTGCCTCATCACTCCCGCCTATGTTTACTTACGCCGATTTTTGTTCGCCCCCAGCAACTGCACTGCTTCACCCGTGTTTGCTGGGTGCCAATGTCCATTGCGTTCCGTACTGTCCCCTATTGGGGCTCGAGAGCGACATGCGAATAGTTTTAATAGCCATTCTCGGGTTCGCCGAGCCGATGCTATACGCCCAGTAGGGTATATGGTTTTTGGGGGACAATTACGCCGACATAAAACTAAGTACGACGCGGAATCCCCCTAGACCAGTCGATTAGGATTACTCCAAACATTTGGGATTACTATTTGGAGTTGGGGAGTTGTTATTTCGCTGCAGGGTTGTAGTTTCCTAGTCGAGGTCTTCGTCTTGTTCTTTATTGTCATTGTCCGTGACCTGGTCAGATAGTTCCTGCACTTGGTAAAGTGTGTCAGTTGTTTTTTTATTTCAATTTTTATCGTTGCTTAGTTGCTCCCAACGGGTCTTGTTAATTTGTGAGAAGTGCATGTTTTGTGCAAACGTGTCATGAAATGTGAAGCATGGTCTCCCGACTTTTTTGTCTGTAAGGTCTAGTTTAAGGGTGGCTTGTAGTATGTTGTTGCGTTACCTACGAGTGACGTGGGCTCAGTATTTTAACTGGGCTACCCTTTTGGTAATGGTTTTGCCCATTAGCAGGTCGCGGGGATGTTGGTGATGGTAGTCGGGTAAGTCTGTCGTTAGTAGTGTAATGATCTTCCATTCAAATTTGCGTAATTTTTGTCCCAAGCACGTTTTGTGGTAGTTTTGTCTTTTTTTCTTAAATTCCAAAATTAAGTATTGCATTTATTTATTAGTTAAACAAATGACAAGCGCAAATATTCTGTTATCTAATGTTTACAAATCCAGTAGAGTTTGGTTATTATGCGTTTTTTACTATGTTAGGGTTATAATGATTAATGTGTTAGTTTATCTGTCTCGTTTGGGTTTGCCTTACGCATTTGTTGTTGACAGATTTATTATCCTACGCAGTGTGCCTTTCTTAGGGTTTTAAAGATATCTGTCGTGTTTAATTTGCAGATTATGTGTTAGGTCATGCATACCCAGTAAACACACATACGTTAATTAAACGTTTTTTTAAACCGTAACACCATTTTGTTTTTACGTATATTTTTAACGTACAATCAACTTTAAAATGTCGCAGATTATAACGTTTAACAATACTAATAAATAAACGTTTAATTTTGGCCTTAAGAAAACGATCATTACACGTTTTGAAATGTTACATTTAAAACGTTTAATATACGTCTATTAATAACGTAAATTAATGATTGTTTTTGCCTCATTTATAACGTTTATCTATACGTTATATTTAAATTCATATTAATGTCCTTTCTAACGTTAGTTCTATAATAAATAAAACTCCACAAATACTTGTTTTTACAACGTATTTATTAAACGTTCGTTTAACGTTAACTGCAACATGAATACAGGGTGTTTAAAGGTCGTCTTCAGGTTAATCATTTTTATCGTTCGCTGGAAAATTTAGCTGCTTCTAAAACACAAAAGAAATTTGTTAAACGATGAAAAATAGACTAATTTTTCGAAAAACCCTATAAGATTTAAAAAAAAATGGCTTAAAAAGCTTGTTTTCAGCTGGCTTTGTTGTTCAACAGATTAAATTTAAAAATTTGTATTGTAGAATATCGCTGGGCTGAAATTTGATAAAAAAATCCGGTATTTTTAGCGCACCCGGTATAATATGAGTGTTCTCGAAATACTAATTTACAATACGTACACTATCTTAAGGTCTTGTTGAATAGATCTATAACCATAGCAAATGCATCTTATCGAGCCGACTTAAGTTTGATTTTACTAGAGAATTCTCTAGTAAAATCACGCCTAATTCCAATTTACGGTAAAAATACACGACTGCCCCTAAATTTGGAAATAATGGACTCTTTCTACAATTTTAACATCTGTACATTTATGACCATTGTGTTTAATCTAAATCAGTTTAATGTTAACTTAATGTTAATTTAACTTAAATTTTAATTTGTGTTAGTTAATATTTACCTACCCCACTATACTTAATAAACATTGAAAACACGTAGAAAACGTCTTTAAAATTAACATATTAACTCTCATATTATTGTAGGACGCTGCACAAATTATAATAAGAACAAAATCACACTCCCCCGAAAATTAGGAAATAAAACAATGAATCTGCATGATATTAACAGTGTGTATGTTTTAAAACAATTATATTAAAGTACTTACCAAAAGCAGGACGAATCTTACGAGCAGAAAACACGTAAAAAAAGCACCTTTTGATAGCAAAATCAAATTGAAAACTGACATAGCGAGAAGCTATGGCATGGCAGCCTGTCATTGGCAGGCCCAATCACATGATGTGTATTCGGCCAATCAGATTGCGTTCTTCAGTTATGCGTTTTATATGGGTATGTATAAACGTATTAAGTACGTTTATTTAAACGTATTAAGTACGTTTGTTTAAACGTAGTAAGTACGTTTGTTTAAACGTATTCAGTACGTTATTTTTATCTATTACAGTAACTGTCTAGTTTAAAGAATATTAATAAAATAATGCACTTTTTAAAGCAATATTTGTGGATGAGTATAGTGTTCTGCCTAAAGCTTACTGTATGACCATTTACTATAGAATTACTTATGCTTTTCTCATTAAAACTCTTAATATTTGTGAAAAAAAATTGTGGGTTGAAACGTAATTTAAAAAATTAAATGTATAGTTGACTGAACACATTAATACATTATTGTAACGTAAAAGTTAGCCACTATTAAAAAGCACATTTAAATTAACGTTGTTTTAACGTTTAAATTAAACATTTAAATATATGGTTGACTGAACACCTTAATACAACGTTATTGTAACGTAAAAGTTAGTCACTATTAAAAGCATATTTAAATTAACGTTGTTTTAACGTTTAAATTAAACATTTAAATATATGGTTGACTTAAAATCTCAATACAACGTTATTGTAACGTAAAAGTTAGCCACTATTAAAAAGAATATTTAAATTAACGTTGTTTTAACGTTTAAATTAAACATTTAAATATATGGTTGACTGAACACCTTAATACAACGTTATTGTAACGTAAAGGTTAGGCACTATTTAAAAGCATATTTAAATTAACGTTGTTTTAACGTTTAAATTAATTGGTGTAAATTTATACCAATATCAAACCGTTGCTTTTTCCACGTAAAACGTTTTATTGACCTTTCAAACGTTTTAAATACGTTTAAAAAACGTGTATGTGTTTACTGGGTATGCTTAAGGTTACTTATCAATTTTTTTTGCGGATGGCCACCTCCCCTCTTGTTTGACCTCCTTTGTTTGTCCAGTGAAAAGCGTCCAATGACAGGTGGCACTTAACTCATTCATATCACTTAACACTTCACTCCTCATTGACCGTTACACCATTTTAGTTTGCACTCTATGAAAATTGTTTGTTTCACTATAATTGGTTTGCACTTTTTAAAAATTATTGTTGTTTTTAATCTTTAAACTTTTACGTTTTAAGAGCTCTCGCTCTCGTATGGTGTCTTCTTAAGTGTTGGAACCTGACTAAATAAATTAATTTATAATGTCAGAAATTTTAGTTATTCCAAGTTATAATTTTAAGAAAACTTTTTTAAGGTTTCATTTTTAAAGAACTGTAATAAACAGCAAAATTGTTGGTAACAGCCTTAAAAATCAAATTATTGTTACCCCAGAATATGTTTCTACACATTTTTTCCATGGGTCTCCACTAGAAATCGTTTTTTTATAAGTATTTGCAAGTACTTATACCATGGTATAATTTTAATTAATTTAATTGAATTACACTGATCTGTAACGAAATTCTCCTTGAAAAAATTGTAAATATGAAGATTTTAATGCTCTGAATTTTTTCCCGTTGGCCGATTTTTTCTATCAGGTCTAGATTTTGTGATATGATTTTTTTTTCAAAATATCATAAATTTGGGTTTTCTTAAATTCGTTGTATGCGTAAACAGTATAAACAGTGTATATACATTAGGGTGGTCCAAAAAAGTGAAGTTGATTTTACAGATTGTCTCACCCCCAATTTTTTTACCTCCAACATCAATAAAAAATTCCCAAAATTTTAGGCCCCTAGGTGTATTAGAAGGGAGTGCTCATTAGCTAAGAGATTTCAGTTTTTTTTTAATTTATTTAAAAAAAACATTACGCCATCTTTTTACTGGTTAGATAAAATGTTATGCCCTATATATTAATGTTACAATTACCAAAGAATATTATTTACCTAAACATATATTTCTTACACACTAGTTCAATCAGCTAATCCCGCACCTTTCCCTAAGAAACTAAAAACTACACTTTACAGTTTAAATGTCATAAGTGCTTTGGATAGGGAAAATGTCTCAGACCGTGAAGTTCTAAGGCTTATAGTACAGATTGCGATAGCACTGGGAAAAGATCCGTATGAAATGCCGTCTCGCAGCACTATTTTCCGGAGACGAAAACATGAAAGGAAGAAAAGATATGAAACAAAGTTTTTCTTGTCAAGGTTTAGTTTTTGTTCATTGGGATGGTAAAATTCTTCCTGATTACCACTGCTTAACTAAAGTAGAACATTTATCAGTAGTAGTTTCAGCAGATGGAATAGAAAAGTTATTAGGAGTACAGCAAATGAAGTCGGAAACGTACTTCGAGAATGGAATCTGGTGGATAAAGTATAAGGAATGTGTTTTGACACAACATCTGTAAATACTGGAATGAAGAATGGATGCTGCGTTTTGCTTGAGAAAAAATTGGGAGATACTTACTTTGGTTAGTCTGCAGTCATCATGTTTTGGAAATAATTCTTAGTAAGGTTTTCAAGTTGTGCTGCTTTCCGGATATTCCAATTTTTAATCGATTTAAAATAATTTGGGTACCTATTGATCGTATCTGCTTCAAGTCCTCAGACCTAGAATCGTCGAAGAATTTTGAATTTTACAAAAACTCCCCAATCCCCTTGTTGCTAGCTGCATTGAAACAAAAGTCTCAACGTTATGACGACTACTTATAACTGATCGAGTTGGCTTTGGTCGTTTTGGTGAAATCTGGATCAAGGCACCGTGTGCCACTAAAGCTACTATGTCCGACCTAACTTTTTGGAAAGATTTAGAACGCTATGAGGAGATTGGGAAAAGCGAGGTTGCTAGAGAATCTCTGAAACATCATCTTTGGTACTTATCCAATGAACTCGTAATAATTTTAATACCAACAATAATAATAATAATAATAATCATAATATTAATATGGCCTTTGTCTACGCAATAAATTATTTCTTACTTATATTTTTTCAAGGTCGACTGTGTGTTGTAAACTTCGAGTTGTAAATGATATAGCGGAAAGATGGGTAAAACTATTTGAAGAGCATAATCAATTATAAAAAATGAGGACGAAAAGCAAGACTTGTTACAAATCGTAGAAACGAATCAAAAATCTGTTCCGACAGAAACCACAAAAAAGCTGCAATTTATGCTACTAAGAGTTCTGGATCATGATTTTCATGTGGATATATTGTCTTCAGATTCATTCTATCATAGCTGTGAGCACTCCCTTCTAATTAAGCTAGAGGGTTCAAATTTTCTAAAATAACTTTTTTTACTTTATATAAAAAAATTAGAGGGTGAGAATAAGTCTATTTACAACTTCACTTTTTTAATTCGTTTCTGGACCACCCTAATATACATATACAAAATAGGTTTAAGCGAGTCGTAAGAGAAAGAAGGAAAGTACCGAAAGTGATTTTTATAGTAGTAGAAATGCGCTTGGGCAGTATTCGCTATGACTTTACAGCACTTGAAAACTTTCTATATCAAATATTTTGGTAAGTTTTGTACAAAGATCATAATCTATATATTTTTGTTAAGTATTTTATGTGTTGTTTATGTAAAACTTAAGCCATAGCATTTTTTCACTTCTTTGTAATTGTTGTTACTTTAATAATATCGTTTTTTTATTAAATGGACATAATATTTAAAATCTATGTGCTGTATTTACTTGCAAGTTAAATTCCGTGTTTGGGGCACCAAATATAATGATATCATGTATAAAAACAAGAGGATAAAAAAAATGTTAATTTCTCTAGACAAGCGTTTCTCAAAGTTTTTTTATGCGGAGCTCCTATAAATCGTACAAATAAAGAGGTAAAATTAAAGTAATAAAACCAAGCGATTGTTTTTAGTTTGCGGAGCCCCTCCGCTATATTCTCAAAGCACACTTTGAGAAACGCTGCTCTAGTCAATGGGTCTACCAATGTTCTGGATGATTGTCTAGATATTCTGGGACACACTAAATATTATAAAGTGTATATGTCGGTTAATTTATACCTGTGTAAAAGTCCATTGTTCGTCCTCAAAATAGAACGCTATTTTGTTTGGGTATTCTTTCACAATTTCTTCAAAAAGTTTTGGCAGTGTTTTCTTCTTCCTATTCCATTTTCCAAGTTGTACGTTCATTTGCAAAAAGTATTTAGCAGCTCTACAAGAATATACCTTTATTAGTTTATTAGGTTTTATTATTGCAATTGATTGGGTAAAATTTAATTTGCGATCATTAGGGTACCATATTCAGTATATACAGGGTGCAACAAGTATCCTCTATGTATGGGTATCTTTCTTATTTGAAGAGTTATAATTAGAGAAAAGTTGCAAAATTATAAGTCAATTAAAATGGCATTAAAAAAAAACGATTTTCAAATAATTTGTAAAATAAAAGAAAACCTATCAAAACTTCGTTATTCCTGGGAATTAAAAAAAAGTAAGTTTTACACGTACCTACTCTAAAAATGAACTAGTCAAAAATGACTAATTTAATAGTTATTAGTGGCTGCTTTTTCACTTGTACCATGGTTAACCATGGAATACCATGGTATTCCAAAATTTAACAGCCAATTCTTATGTAAAATTGTCCCCTGAATACCGTCAAAAGTTAAAAAAAAACAGATTTTGAGATATAGTCAATTTTCCATTTAATTGGAATTGACTCTATCTCAAAAACTGCTCCACTTTCATAATTTTCGGATTCAGGGGACAATTTTACATAAGAATTGGCTGTTAATTTTTGGGATACCATGGTATTCCATTGTTAACCATGGTACAAATAAAAAATCATTTTTGACTAATTCATTTTTAGAGAGTATACATACACATTTATCCGAGGGGTAAACCACTGACTTTATTAAATTAAAAATCGATTACGAATTAACGGCTAAGAATAACAATCCCAAGGGAAGTCATGCGCAACGTGTCGCTAAGAGAAATTTTTTATTGATAAGAATTTTTCCTGATAAGGAAATACAACGTCCACATATATGTGGACGTTGTGTTATAACGTAAAAGGTTGGTCTCGCTGATTTTAAAGTGCTTTACTCCTTGCATTTATCTATAGATGTATACATTTTCATCCAATTTGTAATTTTTGTTGCCCACTAGATTTTTATTCACCCCACCATCTTTTGTTTTCTTATGGCCGCCAAATTGGAATATTACATAATTAAATCGAAAAAAAAGCAAGGAATCCAACGATGTATAAAACATACTACATAATTTATGACGTAGTATATAGTATAGTAGCCAAGAAATTGGAAAATGTAGATTTTGAACAACATGTAAAACTAATAAGAAAGTTATAACGATTTTTGATTTTGACAGGTTTTTAGTTTATTTAAAATATTTTGCCAACCGCTATGTAACTTTATTATAATTTAACCGACCTAGCTCTTCAAATAAAAAGAAGCCTATAGAAGTATACTCATAGTGTACCCTGTATAGAAAGCCTAAATCCAAGTAGTTTTTAAATATAAGCCACATGCAGCTTTTCTGACATCTGCTATTAAAGGTGAATTCTCGAATAACAGCCGTATTTTTTATTTTATCGAAACAGCCAAATTCATTTTTGACAATAAAAATGAGCTCTACAAATTTGTATACATGATATTTTTGAAAATTTTGCATATTTAAGGAAAAATGGAGTTTACACAATCACCTAAAACTGTTATTGTTATTGTTAATTTTTTTCATACGAGCAATTGTTTACTTTATTTTCTTAAATAATCGGTTTTTATTCGTTAAATATGCCAAATATTTCACAAATTCCGGTATACAAATTTATTAAAAAAGGTTTCGGCTCTATTTTCGATAAAAGCAAAAATTCGGCTGGTTTTCACCCCTTAATCTAATTTGGTGCAAAAGCTGCACTGGACTATATTGTATTGTTTGGCAAGCGAAACAAAACCATGTGCAGTAAAGACCTTACGCCCGTAACTAAGACATACAACGATTGTGCTTGACTGAGACGGACAAGGATAGCGATATAAATTCTATCTTTCGTCCCACGTGAAGTCACAGTCTGAGGTGAAGTCTAGTTTGCCGGACTATACATATCGAAATAATATTAAACTAGCTTGAACTTTGACATTAATAATATTTAAATAATTTATTTTATTAAATTATGCTCAATAATATAATGTATTTGTAAATAATTTTCATCAACATATGAGATGAGATATTAAAATAAAAAAATATATTTATCAACAAGCGTTTAATAATTTACGCTTTATTATTGTCAACGCTCATTTCCAAACTATTCGATTATCTTCTAGGCTGCTAAAATAATTTAGACCAATGAAATGAAGGCAAAAAAATTACTAAGAGTTCTGAAGCTAACCTCAATTTATACTTTTAATATTTGTTATTAAAACCAGTGGCGTAGCTAGCCTCGAGGGGGCCCTTATCAAAAATCTGGTGAGGGCCCTTATACGGGAAAAGCTACTGGCAAAAAATGTCTGGGTGTCAAGCCCAAAGTCTATTTTGGGTAAAAAAAATTTAGGGTATCATTTTTTTGCATTTACCAATTTTGTATAATTTAATAAATAATATATTTATACATATATACATAGATTTTTATGTATAGGCAAATTTTAAAATTTGGTCTGGTTTTAGACATTTACCGTTCTTCAACATCTTTTAATAGGTTTCTATTTTAAAATATAGGCAAGTCATTTGAAATAATTGTAAGGCTAATAATTATTTCTAATTTGCTATTAATATAACCTATAATAACTCGCAAAGCAGACTCAGTATGCGGCGCAGAGCACAGAACAATATGCGCAGACAACGCACAGCGGAAAGGTGCGGGCAGAAACAATTAGTATGAGGTCACGGCCTCTTGGAACAGGAGGGTATTCAGGGAAATTAATTTAATAAATCGAAGTATAAACAATTAAATAATAATATTATTTATTTATGTAATTTCATGCCTCAATTTTTTTAACTTGTGGGTAATATGTTTTTTGCTTACGCATGTCGAAGCCAATGGGCCCCCCCTAGCCGGTGGCCCCGTATCATTGTTACGGCTGATACCGCGGTAGCTACGCCCCTGATTAAAACTGTAAGAACGTTTTATGCATCAAATAAAACTGTGCCTTAGATAAAATATTCGGCTGAGACGTGTCTTTTTGTGCTTCGCTCAATTGCGTTCAGCACAAAAAGACTCACTTCTTAGTCTTATGAAATATTATATAAATTTTAAAATATATTTACCGGATATCTCTGTTGAATGTCTTATATGCAAAATAAAAGAATTTATATCTTTTATTTTTTATGAGATAAACTAATAATAACGGTATAATAACCGCTGCAGCACCGGCGAAAAACCATTTATACTAAAAATTAAATTTTTTAATTAAAATTTAAATAATTTTGCTAGGTATTTGTCAATGATTAAATAACCCACTTTGTTGCATACTTAATTAATGAATTAAAAATGGGTTAATATAGGGAAATTTCACTTGTAAACTATTATTTACAATTTTCTAATTACCAACAAATACCTACATATATTACGACGCGTTACTTACCATTTTGGAATGTAATTAATTGTAAAACAATAGAAACAAATCACTTTTAAGGGAAAACAAATATTTATAAATTGATTAGCGCACCGTATTTATTGAACTTGATGCTAAGCGCTCTTTTACGAAAGATGTTGAGGTTCTTACAACTGTACTTTGACTTAACATCGTTTAGTTTCGACCGCGTTCGTACTCTTCAAGATAACTTACCAAAGTTTTATCACCCGAGCAATTAACAATTGCTACTATACGTCTAAGTGAATACATATATAAATAGTGTTGTTGTTGTAGTTTTTTTAATAATACTTGACTAAAAATTTGGATTTTATTGATTTAAATGCAAAATTCAATTGAAATTATACTTAACATGAAAAACGTTTTATTGTTTTATGATAAAATGTTAATTAAATATTATAAAAGTAAATTTACTGACGTCCCAAGTTCCCTTTTGCAATGTGGGCTGTTGAAGTATAAAGAATAATAATAAAAAATTTAAAAAATATACAACACAGACATATTATATTTATTTTATAATTTGTTTTTTAAATTTAATGCCTGCGTGTAGAAATTTAGGTTTAGGAAAAAAATTCGGTCTTTTAAACGATTTTATGGCATTTTAGTCAAGGGCTGAAGTTAGCAACAGTGGCTAAGGGGCTTATTAGTCACGGGCTGTACTTAGTTTTAAGTTGACAGTTGTTAAATGTCATACAAACATCAAAATAAAGTGCCCTTGTGTGAAATAATACTAAAATGTGGTATATTTTTTATTATCTCAATAAAATAGTACAAAATTATTTGATAGTTTCTTGACGCCAATTTTAAAAAAGTTTTAATGCTCGTTTGTATGACCTTTTGAGTTCGCCGGCAGCAAACTAGTATTTGCCGATACAGAATTAATTATTTTGGGTGGATTTTTTATAAAAAACATAATATTTACTCAATGTAAACAACTTTTTATATATCGGTTGTTAGTATATTTTAAAGAAAGAACAAAAACTGATACTGACATTTTGAAAGCCAGTAAAACATATTCTTGGCAGCAATTTTGGTTACTTTATTCGCTCTACACAAATATTTTTAAAAAACTTTTTAAAAAACAGAGCCCGCCCTTTGCACGACAGTCATCTTGAAAACAATGCAAGCGGCGAAGTTGTGGTGAATGCACATATAGTTCCAGTCAAAATTTCAGTACTGTGGTGAGTAGTTATTTTCTTACGTATATATATTTCATTGTAATTTATATAAGCCTATATGTGATTAGCATCCACTAATAAAAAATATCAGTAAAATACTTAATCCCGAATTATAATCTCAAATTTGTATCCCATTCATCAGTACCGTGTCGTCAGTTCCATGTTCGATGTTTCGGTTATCTTCTTTTCGCAAACTTCAATTTCAATTCTGCTTGTGTAGAACTTGTTTATTTAATGTCATTATAAACTCATATAAATTTGGTGTGGGTCCCATATCTAATAATTGGGATACCGATATACCCAAAATCTACCAGCCGCCACTGATGTGTGGTATTAGTTAATTTTAAGATATTGAATGTATAATATGCTCAAAGTTGCAATAAATCTTATATTTTTCAATAAATTATGTATTTAATTAGTACCCTAGTATACTCGTCACTTTCCTTGCATTCAAATTTAGAAAACACAGATATTTCAGAAACTGTTTGAAAAAGTGACTGGCCCGGTCTGGAACAGTATATTTATTATATTATCTATGTTCTCATAACAATATACTGTTTAATTTTCTCCTATAAACTAAACTGCGCACCACTCAATGTGTCGCGACCAAAAAGTTCGTTCTTTTTCAAAACGACATAACTTTTTTGTTTCTTAAACGATTTAATTTTGGTTTGTGATGTCTGCTAGCCTCATCCTCTGGCAATTTATGCTATAGATATGAAGCTCACGGTTGGTCAAGTAAACTTCCTACAGGGTGATATGTTAAACGGTGAAAAATTTCAATAACTTTATCCAAGCCCCGTTTGTAAAAAAATATTTTTTTTTTCGTTTTTACTTTGAAATACCTAATGAAGAATTATTTGTTACCTTGAAACGTTTTTCAAATTTTTCGAATTGGAATCTTAGCAACGAAAATATGATTTTTTTTTCCAAAAGAGTACATTTAAGGCTTTTTTTTTAGGCAATACACTCAGTCTTTTTAGGAACAAGAAGATAAGATGGTGAAAGATTGTTCATTAAATAATTCTGAACAAGCGACAAGCAACAAACAGTTGTCAAATTTAAGTTTCAGAAAAAACCAAAATCACTACGAATCAAGATTCGAAAACAATTCCCGGCTGTCCGATTGCTGGTTTTTAATGTTTTTTTACATATCGTAAATGAGTATTTAAGGGACCACCATATTGAGAAAATGAATGGGCCACCTTTGTCTCCGGATATGAATCCTATTGAGCATGTGTGGAGCAGGATAAAATTTAAGATGAAAGAGAGGGAAGGAGGCATGGAAAATTTGGATGAATTGGTAAATGCTATTCAGGAAGAATGGGGTATCCCAGAAATTTCTAAGGAACTTGGTCGAGGGAATGCCCAGGAGGGTTAACGAATTATTACGGCTAGGGTTGGGACAGTTGAAAGTTTCAAACTTGAAATATTTCATTTAGTTGGAAAAGTGAAATTTTTAAAAATTTCAAATGAAATTTTCAATTCGAAAATTTCAACATTGCCTGTGAAACTTTTAGAAATTTCATTGAAAGTTTCGCAATTTACTGAAAATTTCGCATACATTTTACATGCGGCCTCCCCTGGGACCTTTAATTAATAATAATTTACAACAACGAATCGACCAATAAGAACGAGTTATCAAGCGTCTGGGCGTTTTTGTTTAGTTCGGCTTGGATTTGAATACACTATAAATAATGATTGTTACTTATATGCATAAATTAATTTAAATAATTTAATTCAGTTACCAATTTAATTTGTAAATTAAATCAGACTTTAAAATTTTTTTAAAAGTCATGATTAATTTAAACTTTTACTTTTCCTATAATTGCATCGGAAAACGGATAAAAAACGCCTTTGGCTCATAAAATTTTGATGAAGTTTCTTCAATTTTTGTAAAATTTCAGTAAAATATATAAAAATAATAAATATATATAAATATAAAACAATGAAAGTTTCAAAATCTCATTAGGTTACCAAAAAGTGCTATCTTTCTTAGTTTTATTAATTTTAAAAATATTTTAAAAGGAAATCTCAAGAAATTTGTGGTAAACGTAGGTATTTACTATTTATATTATTGGTGCAGGGGCCCACAGAGGGGTAGGAGGTAAGAGAGACAATTTGCCATGGTCACCGGGTGGGCTTATTTCAATATTAATATATTACACTTAAAGTGATGGAAATTTATTGAAAGTTTCAATAAATTTCATAAATTTCATGAAATTTCTGACATTTAGGAAATTTTAATAAATTTCATAAATGTCGTGAAAATTTTAAGTGAAATTTCAAGTATCTACAAGCAAAAAGTGAAATTTTCCCAACCCTAATTACGGCTTAGGGGAGGGCCAACGAAATATTGAAAGGTATTATTGTTATTGTTTGTTACATTTTTCTGTTGAATGTTGAAGTTTTGATTATGATTAAATTTACGCATACAATTTTCAAAAATGAACAAAAATATTTTTATTTAACTTTATTATAAATTAGGTAGGTACTTATCAATGATGTTATCACTACTGCGCAGCAATTGCAGTAATTTCGCCCAAAAAATGAATCCCCGAATGGCATTTTTATCATAAATATGCAAGAAACATTATATATTTATTAAGACATTTAACAACAGGGAATTATTTTTGAATTTTGATTCTTGATGATTTTGGTTTTATCTGAAACTTAAATTTGACAACTGAATCACAATCAGGAGGTCAAAATTATAAAGAAAACATGTCACGAACGTAAATATCGGTTCAGGTTTAGTTTTCGCAAATTTTCACCAGAATGTCATTTTGAAAAAGTGGTCTTTGCTTAGGCCCCTCTGAAAATAATGGAAGTTTGTTGCTTGTCGCTTGTTCAGAATTATTCAAGGAACAATCTTTTACCATCTTATTTTTTTGTTCTTAAAAAGACTGAATATATTGCCTACCAAAAAGCCTTAAATGTACTCTTTTGGAAAAAAAATCATATTTTCGTTGCTAAGATTCCAATTTGAAAAACGTTTCAAGGTAACACATAATACTACAATATTTCAAAGTAAAAACGAAAAAAAAATTATTGTTTTACAAACGGGGCTTGGATGAAGTTATTGAAATTTTTCACCGTTTTACATATCACCCTGTAGGAAATTTACTTGAAGAACTGTATGCTTAATATCTATAGCATGAATTGCCAGAGGATGGGGTTAGCAGACATCACAGACCAAAATAAAATCGTTCAAGAAACAAAAAAGTTATGTCGTTTTGAAAAAGGACGAACTTTTTGGTCGCGACACATTGAGTGGTGCGCAGTTTATATAAACAAAATGAGGTCACCCATATATTTTAAATCCCCCACTTATGAACTGACCATGCGCATAAGGCAAAATGATACGCCAAATCAGCAAATTTACCCTGAAAAAAGGGAACAAGGTCATCTATACAAAATATACCGAATAAGCGGTATATGTGTTGGAGTATGTGGTATAAGTAATGTTAAATAATTAAAAATAAATTAAAAATAAAATAAAACATTCTGCTGAAGGAATTTGATAGTTTAAGTGAAATTTTATAGATGGCTTTTTTACAGATAAAGTTCATATACTTACCACACAGTGTGGTAAGTATATGATAAAGTTACAGTTATATGAAAAATAATTGTAAAACATAGTTTATAAAATATAGCAAACTACTTTAAACTATTTTAATTAACTTTCAGGAATTATAGTTCGTCTATATACACCTAGATGTCGCCCAGTGACATAGGTTCAAAGACTCTCAGCGCCTGACCCAGTTTCGGCAAGAATTCCTGCACATTCCTGCACGTGTGAATCAGGTTTATGACGTTGCGTGACGTACGCACCGCTGCCTGCGATAGTGCATTCGGGTATATCTACGTATACGTACGCGGCATTTTTTCAGCAGCTTCGCGCTTCACGTTCGTACCTATTCGGAACAACGTGGTGGTTTATGGGTTTATTGACGGTTTGGTTTTGTATCTTTTGAATTTTATTAAGAGCACTATTTATAAGTTAACATTGTATCTATTACAAAAAATTCAGTAAATTCAGTCGAAAATACAAAATGTTTATGTATAGGTATTTATGAAAAGTAAAAATCTTAAACGATACTAAAAAACTTGGACAAAACTTTAATAAAATTTGTTATACATACCTACCACTCTTATTTTTATAAAATTTTATTTGTGCCATAAACCTCAATGGGTCGATTTTTTTTATCCCTTATAGGTATATGGGGCATACAATGCCAAATTTACCCATCAAATGATCACTAGATCACTGTGAGTTCATATACGGAGTTTTTTTGTATTAAACTTAATAAAAATTATACCTAACTCAATAAAACAATTTTAAAGACCTAAATGTAAAGAATTTAAAATAACATTTATCCAAAATGTTAAAAAATCCTGCTGCGCATGCGCTTTTATTGCATTATGAATTCAAGGGGCGGACGGTTTTCACGCGTTTTTGAGATGTCGAATATTTAACGATATTTTTTTTCAATCGTCCATTAATTTTTAAAAAATTGATTAATTTGGACATTTTGTTGTCATATGAATGTCGCATTTTTAGGGATTTTTTGCATAATATAAAATTTTAAGCTTCGCCCTATCGTGGGATAACTATTTTTTATGTTTTTATCTTTAAAGACTTTATATCTTGTTAAAGATCACTAGGAATATCTTCAAGCGTGATATAATTTGAGCTTTATTTTTGTTAACGCTTACTACCACATATTTGTTTACCTCCTAGTCATAAAAATAATTTAGACCAATCAGGTGAAGTTTTTTACATCCTAGTCTGTAAAAAATTCGATAACTGCTTTGAAGCTATCTAACCTCACTTTATATTTTTAATAATTTTTATTATAATTGTAAGAACTTCCTTTAAGATAAGCTAAGACTTGTCTTTTTGTGCTTCAAACTTTGGGCTCAGCACAAAAAAGTGGAAAAAATAAAAAATAATGTTTTTAAAGTACCTACCTATTTCTTTTTTTAAATAATATTTTCATTATAAAAATTTTACTTTGTTTTTTCTGTAGTTTAAACTCTTTAATGTGAGTGGAATTACACAATGCAATTTTTGAGTTGTTGAGAAAATTTTATTTTTATATTCGGTAAATTACTAGGCAAGTTATTTTAATTTTTTTTTTTTTTGAAAAAGGACCCATCCATATATCCTCAAAAACGCTTCGACAATAAAAAATTAAACAAATCATCATGACAACAAAAGCAAATAATTCTTTTAATTTTTTTTCAACTGCATTTAGACACAAAAAATTTGAAGAAAGAAAAATTAAAATTCGATTAATTTTTCAAAAACTTATGAACGGATACATAAAAAATCGTCAAATTTCAAAAAATTCAACGTCTTAAAAACTATGCGTCAAAAAAATATCTTTGAATACCTGCATAAAAAACATATCGCAATTTTGGCAAAATCGCCGATAATAGGTAAATTTGGCATGGAATATGTAGCTTTAGTAAGAAGAGTGAACGTTTAGCACTTTTTTATTTCTTGTATTATATATAATGCAAGAAATAAAAAAGTGCTAAACGTTCACTATTATAAACAAGAAAATATTGACTAGATTTTGAGTTTTTAAAATTAATTTTATAGTTATTTTAAGATATCTATAGATTAAAAACAAATTTCTATAGAAGATATAATTATAAGATTTGGTTGGTTAAAATAAATAATATTTAATAGTTAGAAATATAGTAATATATTAATAAAAAACCAAAAATACAAAGATGACAAGCTTAGATATCTTTCTTATTTGTTTGTATTCCAGTTTTTAAACTTAAATACTTAATAACTTAAAAACTATATACTTACTCGTCAAAATGGTTAATTTGTATTCCCAAAATAACTTTTCTATCTCGTGAGACAATGTATGTTAATCTAAGCAAATAAATTAAAAATATTTAAAGACAAATATAAAATATCATTAAACACTTAATTTAAAAATATTATTTAGTATAGTAATATTATTTTTAACCCCACCTTTAAAACGCCCATTATCATCACATTGACAAGTTGTGGCTTTATGGCCTATAAGTCACGGGCTGAAGTTAGTTTTAAGTTAGTTGACAGTTGTCAAATGTCATACAATCGTTAAAATAAAGTGCCCTTCTTGTAAAATAATACTTAATGAAAAAATTATTTTATTATTTTAATACAAAAATAAAAAAGTACTAAATAATTTCTCAACGCCAATATTTCAAAAGATGAACATTGTACTGACCTTTTAATTTCGCCGGCATGCAGTAAACTACATTTAACTTAATTTCGGCTGAAGACTCCACCGTGGAGTGCCAATAAATTTTCGTTACTTTCACTGTAAAAAACTGCTTCGATTTCGATTTACACATAAAAATTTGACATTATTACACATTTTCAAGTTTGTTACTCTATTGTAATAGATGTCGCTCTATACAAATATTTAATTTAAATCATTTTTAGATAATAATAATTATTTGTTGTAGAAAAAGTATGGTATGCAACTCGTTTATAAACTGTTCTAGATACTCATTTAATTAAGCAATCGCTCGCAAGATCGCTCGTGCCTAAATTAATCAAACTTGATACATAAAATACTATACTCTATAGAGCTATTAATTTAAGTTATAAAATTGTGGTTTAATGATATTAAAACCAATCATTAATAAATATGTAATTGTCATTAATTACAAAAGTATATATATATACTTTTGTATACCTATGAACCTAAATACCTAAAACCCATTTAATATAAATTTTATAAAAAACGTAAATATTATATTAAAATTTTCCTTTCTAACTTATCGTTGAACTCTCCGAAGACTACAGGATAACTACCTAAATAAAAATATATCTTATATTTTACACCTCTTATAAATATAGGTAGTATTTCTGCTATAAAAAAATAATTATTATTATTATTAAAGCAAAGAAAATAATTAAATAACTTTTTTTACATTAGTTCCGTTTATTTTTTATAATAATAAACACAGTAAATTATTCTTATTTAATAACCCATTCTTAAACATGAATTAAAGTTTATAAATAATAATGAATTAAAATAACCGATAATATGGATAAATGAAAAGTGGAATATAATTTTTATGTAGGAATATAACAAGTATAATTAAAGTAATACATATTTCATTAACTATTATAGGTGATTTAGCAAATATACTTAATGTAGGTTATTGCTTGCTTTTAATAATGCTAAATTATTGCCCCGATTGCATTTTTAATTGAGATAAATTAAAAGTCCAAAAGGCAAATTATTCTTGTTTAAATTAATTTTAAAATCAATAGCACAATAGTGGCGATTGCATTTGCAATTATTTTTGTTTGTTATGTTGTATTGTCCAAAATTACAAAATAACTTTGTTATGAACCTTAATAGGTTATATATTTATATCTTAATTTTCCTTTAAAAATATGTACTCGTATACGAAATATGAAAATAGTTTATATTTTAAATAAAGTAATAATTAAACACAAGTAGATTAAAGTCTTTAATTTTGTTTTTAAATTTGTCAAATATTAATTAAAAGAATATACAAGGTTTTTTAAAATTTAACATTAAAAAAATTATAAATTAATTGTTTTTAAAATAAATAAAATTTAAAAGATTACCTAGATCTTGAATTAAGTAGATACTTTTTAATAATTTTTTTTAAATGAATACAAATATATTATTAAAACAAATATGTAATGGCTTTAAGTGGAAGTAAAACGAGTTAACATATTATGTAATGTTTAATGATACTGATCTAACGACAGGTAACAGATTAGTTTTGCATGTAGCAAAAAACGTTTTGATCACTACACTTTTCAGCTTTAATATGTATTCAGTAGGGCAACCGAAGACAGGGAAACCCATCTCGTAATTTCCAAGATAGACATTTATAGTTTTATTAATAAAATGTAATCTGTTCATTTCTGTTGCCTACATGCAAACATAGCGTTATATAAAATTATACTATTAAAATAATATTTACGTTGGTTTAATAATATACCTAGCTTACACAAAATTAAGATTGATAAAATGTATTTTTGTTAAGTTAATTTTTTTATTTCTAAAAAATATTACTTATTTTTATAAAAACTGTTTTAAATATAATATAATATAATTTTGTTAAGTTAACTTTTTTATTTCTAAAAAAATATTACTTATTTTTATAAAAACTGTTTTATGAAAAATTCGTTATATTTTATTTTATTTAAAAACATTTTTGGGGTTGTCTTTCTGTTTTTAATAAATTTAAACAAAAAAGGTATATAAATGCAAGATGCATTTCTAACATATTGCCATATAAAAATAATAATTATAAATGTTTAGTTTACTTACGATGTACGATGTTTAGAGAAAAACATGTGTTTGAATATCCCGGCGCCTTCGCCAAATTTGCAAATAAAAATATTGGAATAAATAAATATTTTAAACCACAACATTACACAACCATTTTTTATTTATTTGTTCATTATGTTTAATAAACTCAGGTTAAACTGTCAAAAATTGTACCCATTTAAATAATCCGGCGTATTTTCCAAAATGGCAAATAAAATAAATATTGTGAATTATAAATCATCTGTATTTTAAACTAGGTACCTATACAAAATTTACTTATTTCCTAAATCAATACAGAAAAAACTAACTTAAAAAAAAATAAACAGAACTTGCAGGCATTATGTTTCAAAATTTATTTGAATTTAGAAATTTTCTAAATAAACAATATTTCTTCCAGGAACATTTGTTAGTAACGAATTATTCTTAATATTTTAAAACAAATTTTTTAACGCATTTTTTAAATTTCGTTTTAAAACCATTTTTTAAATTTCAGTCAGAGAAAAATATTTTTTTAGTTGGATAAATAAATGTAGGGGTTAATAATCTTGATGTTATAAATAATTTCACAATTGTTGTTGATTTGTTTTTATTTTGATCGATATTTTCTATAAAAATAAATCTGAAAACAAACAAAAATACTATAAATAATAATGCGCTATCGTTTTAGTAGACAAACGTATATTAAAAATATTACGTCAAAAAACTGTTATATAGCATGAAATCAAATCGGTGTGTTTCACTTTCGAAAAGAGCGTCGAGAGAACGAACAAACGAACGAACAAACATTGTTGGTTAAGTGTCGCGCGCGCATGATCCTCCAAAACATTTACCAACTACAAACTTCACAAATCGCGCTAACCGGACTCAGTATCTAGTTGGCTTGGGCAAGCGCACGCACGTGTGGTACCCAAGTAGGCTCTGTTCTCTTCTGTCAACACATTCTCTTACTTGTGATTCTTCGATTCTACGATTGGCAACTAGTCGCAACCGCGAAAACTTAAATGAAAATTTTTTTCTACTGTTGAGTTTCAATTTTCGGTGGTGGCGTTCCTCTTCCCGGACTCCGGATTCAATTGGATTTTTTTTAAAGTGTGGTGCTAAATAAAACTGTCAGTGAAATTATTTAGTTAATGGATAAACACGAGAGAAGAATAACGAATTCGATTAGAAAGTGCGTACGCAAGTGCGTGGATAAAAAACTATAAATTTTAAGCAGCAAATTTCGGCAAAGTGAAAGTGGACCCGCTGAGTGAAAGTTTTGTATTGTTAGTTTCGGACAGTTAAACAGAATCATGGATTCACCCCAAATGTACGACAACCAACAGCATTCGCAAAATAATGCTGTCATTAACAATGAAGCAAAAAAAACCGTAATTATGAACAACAATAATAATAACAACAATCTGACGACGCTGAACAATAATACCGGGTCAAAGCAGACGACGGCGTTACTAAAGCAGCATCAGCTGCAACAGTACCAGCAGCACGGGGAGCTAAGTGACCTCAACACCCCGGAAATCTCACTGGACCTGCAGGGACTTATCGACGATTCTCAGTTCAGTGATGGGTTGTTTACTGACATTCTGCAAAGCCAACAGGGCAAACACATCCAGAATCTGCATTCTCGACAAGTTATGGGGGTGCAAAACACAAACTATCCCAGAACGACGCTGGCTTACATGCCGCAGCCGGTTCACAGTGGTGCTACGTATTCGGCAACTCAAAACTCTAACAGTGACTCTAACAGTTCCATTGCAAGTGACGTGCCCAGCATCAAAGAAGAACCCGTTGATCCCCAGGAATTCTCCAGAGGACAACCATGCAACATCATTCCAAACAACTACATAGCAGGATATCCGACGAATCCTGGTGCGACCTTCACCAACCTGACTCCCAGCCCAGTGATACATCACCAGTTAAACATGAACGCCATGAAAAACAAATCGGTGATGCTAAATAATCACGTGGCAAGGAAAAATATGAAACCGTGCGACAAGAATAGCGACGAATATAGGCGAAGGAGAGAAAGGAACAATATCGCTGTGAGAAAGAGTAGAGAGAAGGCGAAAGTGCGTACCAGAGAAACGGAAGAAAAAGTGAAAATTCTCATCAAAGAAAACGAAAGACTGCAAAAAAGGATAGAATTGCTGACGGAGGAACTAAACGTCCTTCGAAGTCTGTTTTCGAACGTTGGGGTTCTGCCAGAGCATGTACACCGAGAGATTAACAAACACCTGGACAACTTCCAGCTGCAGCACCAACAGCAACAGCATATGTAAGTATTGGTCCGAAAAAATTATATAATCATTTTAAAATTGTAGCTTTGCAATATAATCTTATACCTTGTTTTAATCGTTTAGGTCCGAAGACAATAGGCAAAGAATGATGGAAATAGTGCACGACTACGGGCCATAGCCTTCATGAAAAGCTCTAATGTTAGGTGTTAGGTAATACGAATTCGAAGCTTTAATTTTGTGAGACAAAATCTAAATTTGTTATAGACTATAAAACGAATGTTCGGAGAGTTACTTTACCGTGGATCTTAAAGATTCGTTTTAGTATAATTCTAGATCTCCTTTATTTTTACAATAATGACGTGTTCTGGACTATTTAATTTATTAGTAAGTACTAAGTGACGTTCTGCAATGAAATTATTACTATTTTTTTTTAACTCCGCCAGAGTCTAAATCCATCGAACCAAAATAATTTCTTTGCAAAACGACCCAAGTTTGTTAACGGGTATTAATGATACATTATAGTTTTATTCCGTTCAATTTTTGTGATCAATAATAAAATTGTATTTAAAATACGAATATATTTTTTAACCGATGCAATCATGTACCTTTTTTATTATTAGTAAATTAATTGTATTTTTGGATATGTTTTTTACAAAAATATATCGTTGTTGTATCTTTATTATTTTATTGTAATATATTGTTAAATTTAAGCCTATTTTGTAAATGTATGTATAGTGTAATTGTAAATCTTAATATATATATTTCCAAAGAAATACTTTTTTGTATAGATGTCATATATTATAATGTTGTACATTTTATTTTATACTACTTAAAAATGTTCTTGTTTTTATTATTTAATAAATATGTCAGAATTACCATACACATTTTTATTTCTAATCACAATTACTCACCCAAATATTTTTGTGCTGTATTTATTAGAACAAAACCTGTAAAAGTAAGTAAATAAACAATTAAAAGATATCGTATTTATTAAATTACCATTGTATACATAAGTATAGACTATATACCGTAATGTGAGTCAGATAGACTAAATGTGAAAGTGCTTCTTTGTGTGTAGAAAATATATGTTTTGTTATCAAATATTTACAAAAATAAATAAATATTTAAAATCGATTATTATCCCACCTAAAATATATTTGAAAAACTAAACTATTTTATATCTATAAAAAAACGTCTTTTTTATTATGTTAGGGAACTAGTAAAGTAAAGCGTATTAAAAATATTAACGATAACATTCTATTATCTTTATTTAGTTTAAGATAAATTTATTAAGGTCAAATAAAAACAAGGCCTTACAGTTTTGGTTTAAGACTTTAAAGAATACGTCATCAACAAATAAAAGTTAAAAATTTAGAATTAGGGAAAACGTTTGTGTAATTACTTAATCCATAAGTAGGTATGTTTTATAATTTTAAACGTGATTTTCACGTGTATTTTTTAATGACTTGCAAAAGTAAATAAGGTATTTTAATTTAAAAAGTATATCTTTATAACAAACCATTAACAGTTTAATTAGTTTAACCAATTAAATTAATTGGTGTTTAGGCTATAGGAGTCAAAAATTTAATCGGCGCACCGCAGTGGTTTAAAATAATTTAAGAATGATAGATTTGTTGAAATTTTGAAATAATAATAAAAAGTTATTTCAATTTAATTTTTATTATTTTAAGTTTTGCCAAAACTTTTAGGGTCACTGGTTTAATGCTGGTGGAAAAACTCGCAAAAACGATGTTAAATAATTGCCTAATAACCTGTTGGTTGAACACTAATTAACCATTTTCAATTAAAATTGCGCCCGTCACAATTAAAAATTGTGAGTAAAAACTACACATTATAAAATTTATTTTAAAATATTGTTTATTATGCTTGTAATAAGCTTATAAGCACAATAAAAATAATATTATAAAATATTAATTTAATAACTTGTGGTTTTTATTCACAATTTTTAATTGTGACGGGCGGGACAAAAATTACCGAGTAATTTGGAATGCCCCTCTTTAACCTTAGGCACTACATTATTATAATGTTATTATAATGTTCAAATTTTCTTCCGTTACAATTACGTCTTGCACCTCTGGCAATCCTGGCCGATAAATTAAATTTTTCAGAAAGACCCATATATAAAAATCCATTGCATTTAAGTCAGGACTTCATGGTGACCAAGCAACGACAAATCTAACGATTCAAAAATTAATGACATGGAGCTCCGTCATGCATGAACATTATTCTTTGCCTTAGCTTAAAGTTAAAATTGGAAAAAGGTGAGGTTTTCATCTGATTGACATTAAATGTAAACGTCAAAGTTAAATAATTATGACACGAGCTATACCAATTTAAAAAAAAAATGTTGTATTCGACAAAAAACTATAGTCGTTTTTTCGCGTAAATACCATGAAATACTATGGTTATTAAACTTAACCTTGGTTAATAGTTAAGGCATTTTTGCGTTTAGAGTGCGTTCAAAAATCCTAACTATGACGTCACAAATACCAGACCATAAAACTATATCGCTGAGCTAGTTATTCAACGTGGTTAATAGTCTTTCTCTTTTTAATATATATTTTTCTCTGTTTCGATCTGTCAAAAAGTTTACATTTGAAATTTAAAATATTTTAAGTAGGTACAATTGCTCTTAAACCGAATTTGTATTGTATTAAAATGGTAAACGGGGCGTTGTCAGTAAAAATAAATGATAGGGTGCTCCATATTGTGGAATCTTCACAAGTGGAGGAATTATATGCAGGTTTGTTTTATATTCTTTCTTATTTTGTATTAAACATGTAGGAGAATTGGATAACGTGTATTGAAAAAACTAGTACCTATAGAAAAAGAATATACTAGATATAAGAAGTGGCACAGAAATTTATTTACACCGGTAAAAGCATAGAAATTAAATAAAAATAGGTAAAAACACATTTAAAAAATTATAGGTTATGAACAAGTAAACAAATGTCAAATGTTAGAAACCTAACCATGGTTATATGAATTAACTGTGACGTCATAACTTATTTAACCGTAGTATTACATAGTATTTACGCGAAAAAACGACTTATAGTGTTTAGGTACTTCGAGTGGAATCGCAATAAAATATATATATGCCTTTTTGACATTTAAACTTTTTTGCATTTTGACATTTCGTCACCTGAGAATTATAGTGTTCTATCTGCCTTTTCTTTTTTTTATTCAGGTTAGTCTTGTTTTAGGTATTAAAGATGCATATTGTTCTATCTATATATAATTAGGGTAGAAATTTTATAGTTTAAGTCTTAAACTTTACAATTTCTACCCCAATTATATATAGATAGATCAATATCATCTTTAAGACTTAAAACAAGACTAACCTGAATAAAAAAAAGAAAATGTAGATAGAACACTATAATTCTCAGGTGACGATTTGACCTTTTTCAAAAATTTCCAAAACCTGGGAAATCACAAAAATCTGGGATTTAAAAAAAATATTTCAATTTTTTTATTTAAAAAAAAAATAACGTTTTGATTTTTGCCATAAGATTATTTTTATTTTTTGAAACTTTAGTTTTTATTCCAAATCTTATAATGATAATTTTAAATTTTATGCCCCCACCATTTTCCCCCCCGCACATTAGGCACCCTTATCTTAAATAACAACCCCACTTTTTTTCATCGAAAATTGATAGTGCACATTTTTTTGAGTACGACAATACCACATAAGTAGTTTAGTACCCTGCTTAAAATACCCCATAGAGACCTATACAAAATAATCTATCGGGCGCTACCGGATTCAATATGTGCATTTGTCCATGTTTTTTTCCGGATACGGCCCGATAGAAAATTTATAGGAAATTATCTATAGACACACCATAACTTTTACATTTTCCCTATTTAGACCGATAGCAAATAACTCAATGAAGGGTATAATATATTATAGGGATATCCCTATAGAACAACCATAAAACATTTGACAACATTTTATTAAAACCTATGGGGTCGTATGGGGGCAAAACTAATTTCTACATTTATGTGTATTTTCCCCATTGAAACCAATAGCAAATAAATCAAGGGTGGATATCCCTATAGAACAACCATAAATCCCAACTATGGGTCCTATACAAACCGATACACCCTATATATACATTCCGATACAAATATCTATCGGTTTGAACAGGGTCTCTATGGGGTATTTTAAGCAGGTTAACCATGATTTTCAATACAGGGTGAATATTTAAAAATTACAAGTATGAATTTTTTATTGTTATTCTATGTTTTTTCGCTTTGTTATTATAGCAAATGCTGCATATGTTAAACAGGAATGTTATTTCTTCTGCAGATATTCTTTTTTTTTGATGAATCAACATTTCTATTAAATGGCGAGGTAAATAGACAAAATTGCAGGTACTGGGCAGAAGAAAATCCCCACTGGATGCGACAAAGTCATACCCAACGTCCTCAGAAAATCAACGTTTGGGCTGGTATTATTGGTGATCATGTGGTGGGACCTATTTTCATAGTTGTCCCAACTTTAGCAGAGTTGTTTCCAAATCCATTGGAACCTAATCTTCCCAATGAAAGGATATGGCTTCAACAAGACGGTGCCCCACCCCACTATGCTCTTCCTGTACGAAATTATTTAAATGACACCTTTCCACACAGGTGGATCGGAAGAAGAGGATTTATAGAATGGCCAGCAAGATCACCTGATCTAACATCTATAGACTTTTTTCTATGGGGATACCTAAAAAACAGGGTGTTTAAAACACCACCTGATAATTTAGATGAATTAAGAAACAGAATTACTGAAGAAATTAGGAACATAACACCGGAGGTTTTAAACAGAGTGCGGGAACAATTTCACAGTAGATTACTAAGTGTCAGGAAGTGGACGGGGGACATTTTGAACATTTATAAGATTGAAGAACAGTTTATTTTTGAATTTTAAATTAATTTTAAAATAAAAAGTTTAGTTTTTTAATTTGTCATTATATTTCCACCCTGTATTGAACTGTTTACTAAACCCTACTTATGTAGCACTATCAATTTTCGATGAAAAAAAGTGGGGTTGTTATTTAAGATAACGGTGCCTAATGTGCGGGGGGAAAATGGTGGGGGCATTAAAAATTTAAAATTATCATTATAAGATTTGGAATAAAAAACTAAAGTTTACGTGTCCGAGCGTTTTTCATAAAAATCTTTTCTCAACGAATAACAAATTTTATTCCATAAGTGAGTTCCACACTGTATATAATATATACATATGTACATTATTATATGTATATTAATATTTAATTTTTGAAAAAAAAATCTTTTTATATATTTTCATTTTTTCTAAAACGTTGTTGTTTTTGCAAATGAAAAAACTACACCCAACATCGTTTTTAAGCATTAGAGTAACTATTTCTATTTTATTTTATTAAGTAAATCTTAAGAATGCAAAACAATAAAACAGATCGAAAAAAAAACATGTGGTCTTGCAATTTTAAGGATTCACAATAATAATAATAATGTTTATTTGATCAAGTTACATACATACAATGTTTTTGACAAGTCACAAAATATTACATATAAAAATAAATATATAACACAACAATTTAAAATCCAAAAGATTAGAAACATTACATTTAGAAATACTAAAATATAAGGTAATACAGGGTTATACAGGGTAGCACAACACATTTTTAAAATTTACAGTTTAGAAACTCTTCTACTGAGTAAAAACAATGTTTTAA